GTTTGGAGCCTTCCGCTTAGCAGCTCCTGCTCCTAAGACCACACAACGCAATTACGAAACTGTCGTCCAAAAGGTAGGCTAAGCTTCTTGTCCAACATTGGTACCCATCACTAACGCAATTTTAGGCTCAGGAGTTTTTCCAACAGCCAGTGACTACTAAGATGAACTTGACGGAATACTCTGCATTTGCGTCAGAGCGCGTTCGTGGGGAGACTGCAATATACAAAGAAAGCACCTATTATTTCCGAAATGACGTCGAACCAAATTATTCCAAGGGTCCGTCAGACAACCTGTTTCTTTCAGTCAAAGCTCTACATGAAGTAAGTCTAGTATTTCTCTCTGATTTTTCTCTAATCATTCATTATGCTGATTTTCTTTTCCAGGAGTGGACCCCAATCAGACTGGATTTGTTGAATACTTTGTCGCAAGTTCTGTGGCAAGCACCCGAGAAAAATATTCCTCTAACGGGTGACTCGGCTCTCAACTCGACTACTGTTGGCGTCCACTACTATGACTCCTCTCGCTGTTCTTCCGACTGCAGCTATTATCTCAGTCTGTCGCATAAGGACAGCGGCACATTGACAATTCTATTCCGGTCTCATGATAAGGACGACGGATTGGAGATCGCCGATCTCAAAACTACAGAAAAACGAGGCAGCGAAGGAGTTGGGTCGGAGGCATCCTTTATACCAGTCCCTACACCAGGGAACGATATGACTGAGGTGGTCGTCTTCGCAGGTATAAAACTCCAGAATTTATTCGGGCGAGACCGAGTTCGAGCTTGCGTACACAGAGTACGTGGTCCAAGCCCCGACAGCCGTACAAAATCCTGTGTCCGGCGCTTGAGTATAGCGATGTTTTGCGCTCCTTCCACACCTGCCACTCCAATCACCCCACCCTCTCAATCATAGGTGAATGTAAATCCAGCCAGGTTGTGAATCCAGTGTCTCCCCCAAAGGAACACCATTCGACATTGTAACAATGTAACAAGTATCTTTCCCGAGCATGCAGTAGTATAGAGCAAGAATCGCTGAATCAGAAAGCCGACCGCTTCACTGCTTGCCCTATGTGCCCGGCTTGGCTGGTTCTAACGCTTCTTTCCCCTGACGTCTGCAGCAGAATCCAAGATTTTCATATTCGTCTGAGGTATAATGACTGTGGCTTTCTTTCAGGATTGCGGACCATTCCTGTTCCGTAAAGAGGTCATGGTTTTATGAGTGGTGCTAGGCTGCCCTTCAATACCGGCCAACTTTCTTGAGCTGTGGCTGAAGGCTCTGAGGCTCCGCATCGACCGCGGCAAACGATATGAATCCAAAAACATCAGCTAATCCTTGCTGAGGTGATCGGTGGGAAGTGCATACTGATCTTCTGCAATTTCTCGTAGCTGGTGCCTTGTAATAAAAGATCCATGGTATTTCATTTCAAAGACAAACTGGTAAAATTACGGACAGGCTAGGAAATGACTGATTAAGCATCGTAAAGGACGGATCATCGGCGAGTCAGCTAAATATAAAGTTGGATTCGTTTCCCCCTTAGTCGCACGCTCCAGCCCGTCGCCCTGACAGAACGCCTTGATATCTGTCCCTTCGGGCATCCTCTGCGATTTTAGGAAAATGCCGCATTTGGTTGTTGAAGCATATATGTTCGACGCTAGGTAGGAGAATCATCATGGGGAATTAGTACGATACTACCATCATCCTGGCGTATGGATAAATGCATAGTATCCAAAAGTTCTAGTAATTTTTGTCTTGGAAGAAGAAACAGTAATCCGGTTTTTTTTCAAATCAACTCACTTGTGAGGCCTAGCCTAGGTGGGCGACCTGGATCAGCGGGGAGTGAGGGTTTCAAAATAGCTTCCCCATTCGTATTCATAGACTAATTGCTAAGGAGCTTGAAGGGGTATTACTATTCGTAGTGGCTGAGTCCTGTGGCACGGTAGGCGCTAGCCACTACCTGTACGGTACGGCGTGCCTTACGTAGCTGGTGCGCAGTGCGGTGGTTTCAACCGTAATCATAAATAAGGATGGCTGCATACCACTACGGTATCATCAATCATCATTGACGTCGTCTCTCGATTATTCTTCTGGTCTTAAGATACTATTGTTCGCTTTCGAACATTGCTTCATGATAGATTAGCAGTCCCACGGGATTTGTTCTTACGGAGATTGATTTCTAGAAAGAAAATCGAAGAAAAGATCGTCGCCTGTATGAGTGACTCAGGTCTATATACATGATGGGGTCCGCGGAGCGTTCCCGTCTAAGTAAAATGCCTACACTTCGCTTACTGAACTCGCTTTTACCATCCCATCATCATACGGGCACCGCCACCAGTCTTCTTTGTTCACTAAAAAAGGGGAGCCATCATTCACCCCGGTCTTCCAATAGGAGGCTGTACCGAGCTTTGATTGACGAGATGCTCCTACGGTGAAAAGGTAGCCACGAGTAGTGATGTTCATGAAAGAGAGGTATAATATGCGTCACTTACTGTGAACGCCTTGATGGAAATGAAGAGCATACTTCGGGAAAGATAATATGGAAGGGAAAAAAGACCTAACCCTGTAGCGGCATAGAGCTATTCTAATTGCAGAAGGTGAGGTCACACTCGATCACACCTGATTAATTTGATTAATTAAGTCCAAATACTGCTGCTAATGACGTAAGCCAGAAATCCAATATAAAGCTACCCCTTGTTCACTACCTTTTCCGAGAGCATGTAATTGATCGCGGGTGTGGTTTTCAAGGTCAGAGAATCCTTGCTCCGTAAAACATGACACTGGGAGAGCAGAATTATGCGGGTTGTGCCACCGCTGGCTAAGGTGAATCGCCTCAGGTTGTCCATAACTTCTGTCCAATGGCAGAAGGCCTCCCTGATTTTGGATCTAATGTGCGATAGAATAGCCTGGACAACAGCGAGGCGTAACTTATCCATCTTCATGAGCTTTATCTGGTACTAGGACACGTAGTGGGGTACTTCGTCAACCTCCATGAATCTCTTTTGCGCAAAAAGACATTCGGCCAGAGTAATGATCAGAGCCCCCTGTTTCAGCGCTTGACTGTCGATCAATGCCCGAAGACAGGTTTCAGCCTCAGCAGGCTTGCCCAGCTCCAGAAAGGAAAAACCTGCCTAACTTTGGGGAAAAACTCAACATTACCCCTCATATAAATCTACTAAATATCTTTAGCAAGGAGCTCTATCAGCCGATAATCTTGAATGCTTAGAAGGGAAAATATCATCGTGAAATGAATACTTGTAGGTAAGACATAGAGGAGCTCAAATAATTCGCGAAGATCGTCTTTCTGTCACCGCTTAAATTTAGGTAGATATAAGACTGAGTGTCTCAGCATGTACATGCATGGTGGTACGACAGTACGAAGAAGGGCCAGTGATATTACCTAGGTAAGAGATTGTCAGACAAAAATGAGATTTACGGAACACTCCACCGTGATCCAGCCCTGAACTATTTCTAGGTCCTATTGTATAGTGATCATTGCCGTGCCAACCTCTTAGCTGATCAACTATAGCGGTAAATGACGTGTAGCTTACAAATTCAAGAGTCATTTGATTGGCGGGAAAGCATTCATTTCCTCGAAGTTCCTTGAACACCTTTTTTTCTCGTGTAGATCGAAAGGTCATGAAAGGCAGCGTTCGTACCTGTACTGATTATTTGAAATTCCCTGGAGCGGCTGTATATTTAATCTCAGACAAATGCGGTTTTGTGGGCTATGAAAGCCATGCGGGAGGCCGACCATGCGAAAGGCCCTCTATGTGGGTCCGTTATGCGGGAGGCCAATTATGCGGGAGGCCTATCAAGCGACCATAGAACGCGCGACCATACAGTATCAATTTTGTAAAGTTTGCTGCGTAAGAAAACAGCAGAACCTTGATCAATCAATGTCTTGCTAACTCCCCACTAAGTCCTCAGACGACTTTCGACTGGAATCACTGGAGTGCTTATTAAGCTGTCACTGAGGCTTTTGGCTGCCGCCCTACCATGTTCGGTTATCATGGCCCTGCAAGTTATCACAATCATTATTTTACGTACCGCACTACCTAGAACTGAACGGCTTCTACAAAGTCCAGGCCACATAAATGTATGTTCGACCTCAGATTAATTGCATCCTAATGTTAAATGTCAGGTTTCATGTTCAAAACTGACAGACAGTACAGACAAAGAATAGAAAAGACTAGCAAAGGAGCTTTGGAAGCGCGTCGGAAGTGGTTAGCTAACATTCCGGTATTCTATTTTAGCTTGTAGATCAACAGTCCCCTCATAACTAGTCAGGTGGCATATTAATTGAAAATTCGGTAAACCAGAGACATTGTTTCTTTCGTGTTAATGCATGCTCCTCGGTCGAAGATATCGCCAGGTTGTCTCGAGTGAACATCCCGGCACGGTGTAGTTTGATGGACATTAATCAACAAGAGAGACCCCGCCAGTTTCTGCATCAGATACATCATTATAATTTACTTCTTCGTTCAAGATAAAGGGAATTGTTGTCTCGGACGGTCTGTTATATCTTTTCGAACAACTTGTCGAATTTATGATTGCTGGGGTCTTTGTATTTCCAGCGTTAGGGACTTCTAGCCACAAGGAAGTCACGTCAGGGCATCGGATACTTGTGATGTTCGTCATTGAGTCTGGGTGCCAACGGCTCGATGGTAAGTGTTGCAGAACATGGATAATGACTTGCTCGCGCAGTTCGTTAGTCATCAAGTTCAGTATATCCCTCTGTTGCCTGTATGTCGGATTTTTGCCGTCAAAAACATTCAAATTGGGAGGACTCCAATTCGTCCAAATCTTGTGATGAGAACAAGATAGCCTAGCGCGGGTCGGATGATATTTGAAGTACATTTCGCAGCAAAAACACGCCGGCTTGCTACAAGCGATACTCGGTGGGTGCCTACTAGGGTCACCTACGGGAAATTAAAACAGAGGATGGCAGCATTGGAACATTGTCAAACAAATTCAGATTCACCTGTCAGTCGTATCATATTGAGAATGGACAATGTTGACTCCCTCAAGTCAGCCCTGAGGCAGAGAGCCATGGCAGCATCATCATCGAAGCAGCCACTCTCTGACGTACAATATAGCGCTGGATTCGACATCTTTCTACAGGGCACTGGTTGGACCATCTATCAAGACTTCATTATACCACAACTGGTGGAGCTTCTGACGCCTCTCTTCAACGCTCGCGCTCGCATCTCGGTGCTAGAAATTGGCCCTGGGCCAAAGAGTGTTCTTGGTTATCTTCCCTGCAGTCTAAAGCGGAAAATTAGAAGATTTGCCGCATTTGAACCTAACATTCTCTTTGCCAACGCGTTGGAAAAATGGTTCTCACCTGGATTCGCATCGGACCCGCCATTTCCCTGCCTGGATGACCTGCCCGATATCCGCCGAGCGCCATTTATCCTTCATGGCGACGTAGACAGCAATGCAGCAAAGGGCGCGCACGACAATGACGAGAAGTACGACGTGATTCTGTTCTGCCACAGCATGTACGGCCTGAATCCCAAAACTAAATACATTGAGCGAGCGCTGGATATACTTGTCAATCAGCCCGAAGAGGGACTGGTAATAGTTTTCCATCGCGACGGACAGCCAAATTTTGATGGATTAGCATGCCATCGAACGGCTTGTTTTCCTACCGGAGCAGTTTGCGTACCGAATGATGACAATATCTTGGACTGTTTTGCTTCATTCGTTGCAGGATATGTCTTGCACGAAAGGGATGCAGATACTACCATTCGAGTTGATTGGCGTGATATTTGCCGACGGTTGAGTCGACGGGCAGACCCCGAGGCGAAACACCTCATTTTCGGCTCACCGACCTTGATGATCGCCTTTAATAATCACTCAACTGCTGTACAGGAACTGGCAACGTATGTCCCACTATCGGATTTGAAAATGCCGATTAAGAATTGGGAGGCCCGCTTTCATCGGCCCGCATCAGTCGTTAGGCCGACAGAGATCCAACAAGTACAGACCTGCGTTCAGTGGGCTATCCAACACAAGACCGGTCTCACTGTCATTGGAGGGAGCCACAGTGGTCACTGCCTATGGCCCCATATTGTTGCAATTGATATGAGTGTATTCGACGAGATTCACATTTGTCGGGCAGGGGATGGGGAAGCGGGATCCAGCCTCGATTGTCAGCTGCTGATCGTCGCGGGAGCTGGGTGCAAAACAGGGGATGTCGTTCGCCAAGCTATGGCAGCTGGTGTAACCGTGCCTTTGGGTGCCCGTCCCAGTGTAGGTGCGGGCATGTGGATACAAGGAGGACTTGGACATTTGACTAGGTTGTACGGACTCACATGCGACGCTATCGTTGGAGCCATTGTTGTCGGCGTTGATTCTGGCCGGGTCCTTTGTGTCGGCGATGTACCAGCACAACATCGTCCGGCGGGTGCTGTCCGCCCAGAAAATGAAATAGAGCTCTTATGGGCACTCAGAGGCGCTGGCACGAACGTTGGCATTGTCATTAGCTTGACGTTCAAGACATTTCCTGTTCCGACCTACCGGGTCCGAACCTGGAATGTCCCGCTTGAAGATGGAAATGATGCACGACTAAAGCTCCAAAAGTTTGGGGAGGCCTTTGCCGGTTGTCTCCCAACAAGTTGTTCTGCGGATGCATATCTGTATTGGCAAATGGACCAGATGTATCTGGGGGTGACCATATTCGAAACTTCGACGTCCGGTGACAGCCTACGAACCTTTCCGTCGATGCCTGGTACAATGGAAATGATGTTGGGGCTAGAGGAAAGTTTGAAATCCATGAACAGCTTAGAATTGTTTGAGGCCGAGATGTACATGTCCAGAATGCACGGCGGACACGGCGGCGGCAAGACCTCTTCGTTCAAGCGATGTCTATTTTTGAAAGGTATGGGAGCGCGAAACATCACGGATATTTTGGTGAAGGCCATCGAGGATCGCCCATCACCGCTCTGTTACATTCACCTACTTCATGGTGGTGGTGCAGCCAGAGACGTGGCAATTGATAGCACAGCTTTCGGTTGTCGAGACTGGGAATATGCCTGTGTCATAACAGGTGTGTGGCTTCGCGACCACGATAGCAGCGAGATCGCCCGAGATGTCGTGGAGTGGGTATACCACGTCGTCGACAATCTGCTGCCCTTGAGCCGTGGAGTCTATGGGGCAGACCTGGGACCTGACCCTAGAGATTTGGTACTCTCGTCTCGGGCATTTGGGTCAAATCGACGGCGCTTAGCCTACCTCAAACAAGCAGCGGATCCGTACAATGTCCTGAGTTATGCATGCCCGTTGCCAAAGGCTGAGACAGTAAAGAAGCTCGTCATTCTCATTACCGGTGAACATGGCGCTGGAAAAGACTATTGTGCAGATGCTTGGGCTTCTGCATTTGCAGAGAGACTTCCATGTGGACTCATGGCAAGAGCAATCAGCATTAGTGATGCGACCAAACGTGAGTATGCAGCAGCTGTTGGTGCTGACCTGGGCCGTCTGCTTCAGGACCGTACTTACAAAGAGCGTCATCGATCAGCATTGACAGTCTTCTACCATGATCAGGTCCGACAAAGGCCGCAGCTTCCAGAGGAGCATTTCCTGGATGTGGTTCACGATGCCGTGGACGCCGACGTGTTGCTGATTACGGGAATGACAGATGAGGCCCCAGTAGCAATGTTCTCGCATTTAGTGCCTGCCACTTGAGTCATTGAGGTTTACGTCAGGGCATCAAATGAAACTAGAAACGCTCGTCGAGGCTGCAGCACCACCGACAGTGGTGGCTGCAGCATCACAGCTCAGGGCCACTTCCAGGGCTTCGCAAGCCTGGTTTCGAACCACACGCCCACCTTTTTCTTCGACAACGATGAGACAGGAGATAAACGGGCAAGGCAATTCGCCGAGAAGTACCTACTCCCGCTCATCAGCGAAGACATTGAACGACTCGCCCAAATGGTGGGTTTGGTGCACGACTTTCCGCGGCCGAGAGTCGATTTCCGCCACGTCTTGAACGTTTCCCAGCAACCAGGCGGGCTAGAGTTATGCACGTCTTTGTTGCGCCTTCAGCTCCCAGATCGATGGCCCAAAATCGACACTATAGTTTGTTGTGAGGCTGGTGGATTTGTATTTGCTTCAGCACTTGCCTCGCGAGTTGGTGTACCGTTGGCCTTGATCCGAGAAGCGGGCAAACTACCGCCGCCAATTATTTCTGTCTCCAGATCCGCATCACATATATCTTCCCCTACTCCTATGTCCGAACCCAAAGAGAGGCATATCGAAATGGGCTTGGATGTGATCCCGCCGGGGGCGTCAGTTGTGGTTATAGATGACGTACTCGCCACGGCAAACACAATGCTCGCAGTCCTACAACTTCTTAGCAAGACCAATGCATGTGCTGATGTCAAAGTGCTTGTGGTCGCCGAATTCCCCATCAACCGTGGGCGTGGATTGTTGAGGCAGCACGGCTATGGTGGAGTTAGTATACAGAGCCTCCTGGTTTTCGATGGCGCATAAGGAAGCGGAGAAGTGCGATAAGAAGGGCCGGGGTGGCGAAATTCGAAGCAGTGAAACAGTCCGATCTCTCTTCTCATACTACTGAGATAGCTAGCGACAAGATTTCAAGACATCATTGGATCCATCTTTTGGAGCGCGATGGCATCGGATTTTCAATCTTTGCTTTGGTGTGCCATACGTTCCCATTTCTGGAAAACGACGTCCCAGAATTTAACTCTGTTTCTTTCTCTCCCCACTCCACAAATTCGTTGTGAATTCGCATGTCCCCAATTACAATTGGATCTTTCCTGCAATAGCCTTTTATTTAAGTATTTTGTTGCTAGAGCTTTTGTTATAATCTTGGGGTTGATGGGGGTTCGACCGTATAAACTATGCTAAGTCCCGTGAGTACCCTTGACATTAAAAAGAGCCGGACAAAGAAGTGATAGATATGCTTGATGAGAATGAAAAAACTGCAGACAGATCCCAACGCAACGTATCATAACCTCCAAAGTTGGGCGACGAGAATTTCGGTAGTCAGGAAGAAAGCTTGTATTAATATCTGCACTCGGTGCTCGCTTCCTTTGGAATTGGCTCCGTCATCCGATCCACTCGATCTATCACCCGGTAATGGTATGCAAGCGTATAGCCAAAGATCTTGCGTCTCCAGTAGTTTTATAAGGTAAGCGTATTCGCTTCTCTATCCACACCTCTGAAGACAAGCCGGAGCATTGACCCCTCCAAGAAGGATATCCCCTAAGCGGAGCCTCGCCAACCCCCTTTGCTTCTCCAGTAGACCTGAAGCAGATTATTAGCTACAGCTAAGTACTTGATCCATTGATTGCTTACAGAATTTTCTTTCACCTGGAACTGACACGACATCGCCGCTTGCGAGGGTAAGGTAATAGCACCTGTAATTGAAAACCAAAGCACTGGTAATGTTCCTGAATACTTGTTTATTCTGGAACAGGCTCTCCGCGGCAACGAAGACAATGAGATCACTGGGTCTCTTTTCAAGGGGGGCCTACGCCATAATTCACTGGCAAAAGTCAACACGTCGAGAACACCGAACTTGTCTGCTGTAACAGCGACACTGAGGACAGCTGTGCAATGATAGTCGGAGGTACCGATTTGTTCTGATGATGTATTACTGCACAACTACATCGCAGTGCGGTCGCATTTTCATCCGGCATCAGTGCCCCCAACGAAATCCCCGCAAAGAGCGCACGAGGGCTTTCTTTTGGACTTAGCTCAAAGATAGAGCATAGAATTGTTGAGGTCTCACATGCATGACCGGAAAGGGTAAATCATCCTTGTCTACCATATCTGATTGACTGGAACATGGTCCACACAGATATAACTGCTCTCCATTTAAGCTACCTATAATTATATTCCGGATGAAGGACCCAAGAAACAGGCGGATCCACCACTATCACGGTTAATCAAGATGATCCAAGCGGAATTCGAGCCCGATAGTGATATAAGGCCAAGTTTGATTTGGGTTCATTTTACCTCCATACCAGCCCTTCGCAAAGTCAAGTCTCAGATGTAAGAGAGGATGAGAGCTAGTTTGATTTCGCAATTGACAACGAGCTGTGGCTGGAGCCGGGTATATGGATTGGTGAGTGGATTTTGGGATTTTGGCTTGCAACCGCCTCACTTTGCTGATTGTAAGGAGACTTGACACGGCACCATGGGTCATTACTCGCAGCATTTTGCCATAAGCCAACTTGCGATTTAGCTGGTCGTCTCGTGTGAAAGTTATTCGGCGTCAGTGACGCTGCGTTACAGGGTTTATGATTCAGTCTTGTTCTGTGCTCCTTGACTTTCCCAAGCTAATATCCAGATCAACGATGCATTACTCAATGCGAGCTAGATCGCATAGCGCCAGAATTGTGTTGGAAGTTGGAGATTGTAGATTTTATATTTTGAATTTAGTGCTACTGAGAGGAGACAGAGTAAAATGATACTACACTGATGCAGGTCAGCCTAGTTCTAGCTGATCTTGCCCCTTGTACTCGCAGAAATTCGGTATTCAAGATAATTCCACCGGAAATTATCAACTGGTCTATGACTGCAACATAAAAAATTCCCGCAAATGGGCTACCTGTCAGAAGCGGTAGAAATTGGTACCACGTCATTGTCAAAAACAGTGATTTCAATCGAGTGAGCGCAACGTTACGATTCCTGTAGGACTAGCCGTTTATCTCGTCTCTAAGACCGACTCAGTCAAGTGGAACGAGTATTGCATAAGTCTCTGTATATATTTGTATCCCTTAACCACGTCTGAACTACAGCCACCTATCTCATAGCTTTACCTAGACATCAAGATAGGGCAATCTGGGTTCATATTCCTAATTGAAATAAAGTGCAATTTCTTCCTGTGCACCGCATTTGGATCCGGTACTCGGAGTAAATGCTGCCTTCATATAAGTTTCGAGCCCTTCCTGATTGAACTCTACGGAGCACGGAACTTTTTCTTTATCACATTTCATCCTCGAGAGAAAGTAATCAAGCGAGAATGGGGCATGAAAGAACCAATCGGTGTGGGAACAAGGCAAACCATTTCAAAGTGCAATTTAACGTGCACTGACGTTTCTATGCTGCCATTTGACACCGGCGGTCTCACGAAGGCAACCCATTTCATTGTCAAAGTGCGTAGGAGACCTTCTCGGTGTATGGCAGGTCAGGGTTGGTCGTGAGAGGGTATTGGAAGATCTGTAGCGTTGGTGATGTACTCTTGCATCCTATCTTTGCCGCCTGCCGAGCAAGATCGTGCGAGCAATTATTTGGCTTGGCCAAGCTTTTACTCTAGACGCTCGGTTCTGGGGTATAAAGCGGGACATCATGTTACTGTCCCACGATTTAATAGCTGTGGCTTCGTTATCAACGTCGCGGAAGTTGAGATAAAGGCCAACTTCAACCCGGAATGTTAACACATTTCCATGAAAAGATGGGTACAGTGACTAAGAAGCTGTTAGCTGATTTGCACCTATTTAGGCCATTTTTGGCATATGGAAAGTGTTTACAAAGGACCAAAAGTACGCTTCAGACGTTGAAGAGACAAGCAGATAAAGCTTACTTTGTAGGTCAGAAAAGAAGTCGTCACAGATTGGAAGAGTCAGATGCGTATATATAGATATATGTATATAAATCAATGAAAGAAAAAGGCAAGATTCCAAAGAATCGACCCTCGTTTACATATAGCAAGTGCGCCGGAGGATCGAGTGAAGTATTATGCGCGGTCTTAAGAGGAAGCAGGCCAGCCAGATTGGGGATAGAAGCGGTCTTTCCTCTCCATTCTTTCTACCTTTTTGGGCAACGTGCAAGTTGACCTCTTCGTCCTGGCATATAACGGATTGCACCGAAGTTGCCATGATCGCGAAGAAAAACGCGCTCACGTCCGCGCCGAAAAAAACTTTAGAATGGTAGCCAAATGACATATCTTGCTTGGCATGCAGAAGCTATAAAAGCCAAGCGGCGCAGACTAGACCTGTTGTTTATATGGACCCTGAGCCACGAAAACCTATCTATCTGATCCTCGGCACTACCTAGGCTGCCCCTGTTTGCAGGTCAAAATTATCAGTAGGGGTGCTTTGAACCAACTACGACGACGCCGGGTCGTGGTTTGGCCTATATCGATCCATCATTCTCACACTCCAATCTCTTTCATCATGGCCTCTAAATATTGTATTATGACTATTGTCATTCTGCATCAACATTTCGATTGTACCTGCTATCCGTAGTTGCAAATTTCATGCCCGACACCCGATCAAGTCCTTAGCAGCCTATGGGCTATCGAATTTTTGTCACAAGAAGAGGCCTGGATCTGTGAACCGGCTGCCAATATCTTTTGCTAGCATAGTTCCCGGCCGACCCAACAACCAAGCGGCTAGGCAAACGACAGCCATAACGAGGGTTTTCCTCATGTAAGCCTCGGTGATCGTTCCAGAAAATTCCAATCCACCCAAAGCAGCGGCAACACCCACGGCTCTTATTACTGTTTTTTTTCTCTTCCTAGACGAAATCTAGTGTTAAGGCTCTGTAACAGCGTCGCCTCCCCATTGGGAATTATAGTTTGCCTGCTATCTCTCAAGGGTTTTGATCCGGACCGACGTTATCGGGGTTCTTTTCACTACTGACAGGGAAGAGATTGAAGAAAGCTTGTTGTCTTTTCCCTAATGTATCGTGACTTTCTCACAGATTTTGCACTCGAAAGATGGTGTATGACAAAAGAGAGAAGGGAAGGTGGCATTTTTTTGTGGTTGAACGGAGCATTTTCCAGGAGTCAATCGAAGCTACCATGACGGTCAGCCGACGGCTACACCTGGTCACTGAGCAGCGCTAGTATTTCGCATTGGAAGTATGCTGATATTTACAGGACAATTGCTCTTAGATAGTCACAAAGTCGTAGTTTTTGCTTGTGAAGGAAAGGTTTTTAGCTGAGGAGAATACGCAGATTCCTTCCGTATATGCGGTATCCATGCATTAGGCGCACTCACTCCCTAGTTGGTTCACTTCAGCACCACCACGCTTGCTTTGCGAGTGCGCAGAAGTGAAGTATCGTTGTTCGCGGACACTTTTGACTCTCGATTGACAGCATTTCCTACTGCTTCAAGCTAGGTCTTCACGGTAAAAGACAGCTTAACTAGTTGTCTTCGCTCCGTGCCTGGCACTCGGCCGAGATCAGACTCTGAAGAGGAGTTGCCTTTGGAGGGGTTTGGGCCCAAGATAGTGACTACACAGGCTCTCCTGAATGAACCACGTGTAGCAACCTAAGTACAACCTTTATTCCCCTTCCACAACGCGGGTCAGGCCCCGAGCTACCGTCTGGTCCGCCTTTCAACACACGCATTCTGGTGTAGGTACTCACACCGCAGCCAGTTCCACCTCGTGCCCTCACCATGATACCGCTACTTTCTGTTCGCCAGCATCCATTCTAGCCACCGTTCAAGACTGCAAATAATTGCTGTAACGAGCATGTTTTCCCCAAAGTCTGGATGCTATATTTCAAGCATTTACAGACTCAATCTGTACGCGAATTAGTCTAGTGTTCATTTCCATAAGTTAATTGAAGTAGAGCCAACCTTTCCAGTCGTGCAACCCAGCTGTCTGTAGACTGAGTGCAATGGCCCGCTCTGCAACCCTCACATAGATGACTATTGTGTGGGCCTGTGCTGCTAGTGGACACTGGTGGTCTTTCCACTTGAATTTCATTCCATCGTTTGATCCAGTAAGAGACTCTCTCGGCATAAGAATCATCTAAGGTTGGTCGCGCGAGCTCGTTGCAACTTTTGCAACGCTGGTGATACACCCTCGCATTGTACATATGTCCATGATAAAGACGAATGGTGACGGCGATTCTTTTGCTTGACCAGCCTTTTGCTCTGCACGCTCTCTTCTGGCATGTAAAGCGTCCCATCATGTTTGTATCCCGCATTTTGAAACATTCGGTATCGTCATCATCATCGCGGAACGTGATATGTAGGTCATGCTCGGCCAGCAAATCTGACACTTGCTCATGAAGAGACTGATACATTGACCAAGAAGCAACACCGTGGCCTTCTGCATTTGGAGCCATATCCGAATCAAATTGAATCTTTTGTTAACAAAGAACAATGCTGCCCGTGAAGCGCTGTTGATTTTTGGCAGTTGGTGTGTAGTTAAATCTTTGAAGGAGAACGGAAGGGGTTAGCTACCGGACTTTATAGCTAAATTCAGTTAAAGAATCTTGCCCTGGATATCTGGTCGAAGTGGACGCAGAGTCCGCTAGCCTAATCATAAGTTCCAGTCTAATTCATCAACAGATAAGCGCATGTTGTTGTGGATGTAGCGCTCCTGAAAATCCTATTGAACAGTACATAGAGAAACTGTCTTTTCTGGCCACAACACAATAAGCGCAGACGATTGGCCAGTAGGGTCATAAGGGAAAGAGCCCCTCGCGTAATGAGCGCGGAGGGGTACCGCATCTGATCGTTAAGAGAATTCCATCAATTATAACTCCGTTGTGTATATAATACAGCGGGCATTGCGCATACTGGCAGTCACTGTACTGAAGAGGTGGCATCGTTCAACAAGTCACTGCACTCAGTCACGCGCGGAATGAAGGAACTGACTTGATATTTTGACACCTCGTGACAACAAATTGATTGTTAGTTTGCACTGGTGAAGGCCATTTCGAAGATATGTTTTTCGCTCTAGTGGACCCGCATGGATGGCCTCCCCGTGGACGGCCTCCCGCTTGAATGGCCTCCGCATGGATAGCCTCTGCATGAATGGCCTCTGCCTGCGCGGCCTCCTGCTTTCTGGCTATCTGCTACAGGACGTACTATGGAGGAAAGTTGGAAGACCACACCTATTAAATGGAACAAATGGCCGGATTTCGGCTTATACTTCAGCCCAAAATATCGCCTGACAGTGAAACCTTCTGGCTTTTGAGCTAACGACCACGATACCCACCATGCTCGCCAGCGACTTTCCCCAATATATGTCCACAAGCCTAGATGATGCCAGTCAAAAGCATGATTCAGATAGGGAGGAAGACTTGGACACACCCGCAAGAGCTTCCCTCTCATCCAAGTTTCATGCAAATTCAGGTTCGCCTAAGTTATCAATCTCCGGTCCCGGGGTTGAAGCCCCATATTCCGTCCCAACGAGCGAGGGAGCTCTAGTCAACCTCACTCGAAGGTGGGTTGTTGCAGTTGTGATTAACCTGGCGAGTTACTGATCGTCCATTAGTTGCACAAATTCGGGCAACACCATACCCCACGACGATCAGGCTGATCCCAGTGGATTTGCAGATGAATCCTACGATCTATGCCACGAAACATCGCGTCTGTTGGACTTCTCACTAAAGGGGGCTGATGAACCAGCTAAGAAGCTTGCGGAAGCTGTACGGACAATTCTCGAATGCGTGGGAGAAGACACGGAGAGAGAAGGATTACGTGCAACTCCAGAACGGTACGCTAGAGCCATGCTTTACTTCACCAAAGGATACTCAGAGAGTGTCGGGGATCTGCTCAATGGGGCTGTTTTTCATGAAAACTACGACGAAATCATTATCGTGAAAGATATTGATATATTCTCCCTCTGCGAGCATCACATAATTCCTTTTACTGGAAAGATAAATCCCTAGCTCTATCTTTGAAACACTGTAATAACCAGACAAGTCAGATGCACATAGGCTACATCCCAAACGGCCGCGTACTTGGTTTGTCCAAATTAGCCCGTTTGGCTGAGATGTTCTCTCGCAGACTTCAGATTCAAGAACGTCTGACCAAGCAGGTAGCTATGGCCATTCATAACGCTCTCAAACCACGAGGTGTTGGGGTCATTATGGAGTCCTCCCATCTGTGCATAGTGATGCGTGGCGTTCAAAAGGCCGCAAGTACTACAACCACTAGCTACATGGTTGGCTGCCTGCAGTCGAGCGCAGAAACCAGAGGGGAATTCCTGGCCCTCCTGGATCGGCAGTAGACAAATTCCCTCGGATTTTATGGCCTCGGTGATCAACAGGATAGAGAACCTTATAGTTTCAATCCTGCAGGCACAAGCGTGCACACGTTCACTGATGTTGCATAAGCACCGACTACTTTTCTGCATGCCGCTTTTGACTTTGTCCCACGTTTGAGGTCTGCATATCCACGTACAGATGTCCGAGGTTAAATCGATTCTCTCGGAGTGGAGTTCCTCGTTGTGGCTTACAGGAATAGTCATAGGGTAACCATGAATTATACACATCGCTTCCATATTCAGCCCCCTTCTGACTGACATTCTATGATGGGCATATAAACATGGATCAGCGAATCAAATTCCAAGAAGAGTAATACAAGGATGAAGCGGAATAATTGTGGAATTCGCTCCTCGAACTTCATTGCAACCGGAATTCCATACGGAAATAAAGCGTCCCCAGTTTACTAAAGCGGTGAATGGCGTGTAGGTAAAAAATTAAAGAGTCATTTGATTGGCCGGAAAGCCTTAATTTCCTTTAAGTTCCTTGAACTTCTTTTTTCCCGTTTAGATCAAAAAGACATGAAGGGCGGTGTTTGTACCTGTACTGATTATTTGAAATTCCCTGCAGCGGCTGTATATTTAAACTCAGACACATGCGGTTTAGTGTGCTATGAAAGCCATGTTGGATGCCGACCATGCCGAAGGCCCTCTATGCGGGAGGCCCCCTATGCGGGGGGCCCCCCTATGCGGGAGGCCCTCTATGCGGGAGGCTCTATGCGGGAGGCCCTCTATGCGGGAGGCCTATCAAGTGACCAGACAATGTGCGACAATACAGTATCAAAAATTTGCGAAGTTTGCTGCGTAAGAAAAACAGCGGAACCATGATCAAGCCACATAAATGTATGTTCGACCTCCGATTGTTTGCGTCGGGGTGTTGAACATCAGATTTCACGTTCAATGGTCAAAACTGACAGGCAGTACGGAAAAATAATTAAAAAGACTAACAAAAGAGCTTTAGAAGCGCATGGGAGGTGGTTAGCCAGCATTGGGGTGTTTTATTTTAGCTCGTAGATTACCAGTCGCTTCATATTTAGTCTAGTGGCATCTTGATTGAAAACTCGGTAAACCAGAGTCATCATTCCTTTCGTGTCAATGCATGCCCCTCGGTCTAAGATATCGCCAGGTTGTCTCGAGTGATCATCCTGGCTTGGTGCAGGTTGATGGACAATAATCAAAGAGAGAGACCCCGCCATTTTCTGCGTCAGACACATCATTGAAGCTTGCATCTTCGTTCAAGAGCAAGGGGAATGCTGTCTCGGGCGGTCTGTTATAGCTTTTCGGACAATTTGTCAAATCTATGATGGCTGGGGTCTTTGTATTTTCCGCGTTAGGGACTTCTAGCCCCAAGGAAGTCACATCAGGGCATCGAATACTGGTGATGTTCGTCATTGAGTCAGGGTGCCAACGACTCGATGGTAAGCGTTGCAGAACCTGGGTAATGACTTGCTCGCGCAGCTCATTGGTCATCAGGTTCAGTATATCCCTCTGTTGCGTGTATGTCGGGTTGTCGCCGTCGAAAGTATTCAAATTTGGAGGACTCCAATTCGTCCAAATCTTGTGATGAGAACAAGATAGCGTAGCGCGGGTCGGATGATATTTGAAGTACATTTCGCAGCAAAAACACGCTGGCTTGCTACAAGCGACGAAACAGTCGTCACCTGCAAAGGACTTCCGCATCTTGTAAAAGTGGTCCAACACCTGAACCTCAGCATGGACTTCGGGGGAGCAACGCTCATATGGAAGCAAAAACTTTTCGAAGACGCCGCCTACTTTGTCCAAGTAAAGAAGACCATTTTTGACCTTTGACCATTCCTGGTCGCTTTCTTTGAACATTCGGTTCAGAATGCCCCGAAGATTAACGTGCGAGTCACGAGTAGGCGGAGGTGCAGCGGATAGTGCGTCAATAGCATAGACTGTATGACTCTCAAGAAGATGACTGAGGTCCTTCATGTCGTCTATTAGCTGTTTTGGAGCCCGTATATGTTGAGCGAGTCGCCCGACATAGTGGCGCACCAAGAGAAATGACGAGCGTTTGCTTGCAGGGCCAAGCCGTTTCTCTTCGTTCATGCCCCGCTCAGAAAGCTCGGCAACTCGATCCGAATATCGCGTCTCATACGCAAAAATGCATAGCTGAAAATGATCATCCAAATTCATGGCCACTTCCAACCACTCAATGAGCTTGGAATCTGTGAACAAATGAGTTGTGAGGTCCCCCACGATGCAGAAAAGGCTTGACGCACCGCATCCCGACGATTGTCCGTGCAGCGTAGAGAGGCAGTCTTTGATACTTTTGCAGAGACATTTTCTCTCACCTTCGATGCGATCAGTAGCAAATTCAAGGCACAGATGTAAGAATCTAGATTCTTCGTGATCGTCATCTGCTGCAGTGAGGTGCGCCCCAGATTGCAAAATACCAAGGGAGGTTTTGAGAAAGGCGGCGATTTTACGGGTCTCCCTGTTGGAAGCGATACAGAAATTATAGCACGTATCAAGCTCCTCCAGACCTATTGCGGTGCATGCGCTTCCGCCTTTTTTGAGGTCGCATATAAAACAAAGATTTTGAAGAAATCGTCGGACCTGGGCTCGGCCCCTATCAAGCTCAAAAGATGTGGTTGTATAGTTGCCACGAGTCTGTCCGAGTGCATTCAAAAGGAACAGCGGTTCGTAAAATCGACAAAGAAGTCTCTCGTGGGGGTCAAGTCTTGGGCGACCGATACGTTCGGGATCGATATCAAGGTGTCTTTCTAGCGTTGCGGAACCCATTTTTCTGTTACTAAGATGTTCTGAAGACGAAAATACTTGAGTATGTCGCGACAAAGAAGCGAGAAAAATTGTCAGACTTATACGGAGGTACAGATAGACTCCGTACAGAACTCAAGAACGCGGCAATGCTGATGAAAATGAGTCAAGCGGCAGTCAGGTCTCTACGCAGGAGGCTGCCATGCATGAGGCTGCCTTGCGGGAGGCTGCCTTGCGGGAGGCCGGCATTTTTGGTCAGATGTCATGCAGCACATAAATTCAGTAAGTTCTGTCGGCCATTAAATCATTCTCCCAGTATCATCAGGTTGATATATACCCTATCATATTGGAACGATGATAGTACTGACAACCATAGTACTGACATCTTGGCGAGCAAAAGAAGACATCAAATTAGCAAAGTGACATTCGGTGAAACAACTTACAATCGAAACGAAGAGTAAGAAAGAGGGAACAGGCAAGGCATTCTGATTATTAGAGATTCATCTTTGGGATACTGGGACTCGCACTTTGACCCTTGGCATTAAACTCAAAAACTACGCAACAGGTCAAAACGAGGAAACATCAATGATCTGAATGTAGACTTCAGAAAGTCTATATCTACCAATAGCGATTGCGAAAATTTCTCAGCAATTCAAATGTAGGTGTAGAACGTCTTGGCTCGAACGTATTTTGGCCGACCATTCCGCTTACTGAATGTAACTATTCCAACTTCTATCTTGATCGTCGCACCAAAAATAGGAATCATTTCTAGAACATATAGAGCAGTCCTCACAAGTACAACGCCCCAATTTCCACTGTAAATATGAATGTATACACACCGCAGCAAAAAACTTTCAGTTAAGCTGTACCAAGCCAGCAAACTGTTAGCCAAAATATCGGGCGAAGGAAGCAACTGAATAGGCAGAAAAAGAGAAAAAGTAACGTAGAGGATATTCGAAGAATAGCAGCAAGCGGCAGCGGTGATGGTGGCTCTATTGCATAGCAGGAGGCGGGTCTCACCTATCAGACGAGGAAAGCCTTCTCATTGATCTCGCTCGTAGGCGTACTTTCGGTCAATATGAACGGACGGTGATAATTGGATTGGGAATTCTGTGGTATTTCCAGCCATAATAGAAAAAGCACCCAGCAAAATGAAAAAGTAAGCTTCTTCATCATAAGCAGTCAGTACTTAGAGCCTTAATTTGTCACTAAACCGAAAGAAATCCATTCGACCTGGCTTAAGCGAACCGGAACTGACTACCTATCATAAGAATAAAACACTTGCTGGTGATGGAGGAAGGTCGTCAGGTGAGAAACACCTTATGAATCCCCTCGAACTGATTAAGAGGAAGACAAGATAACAGAAAGAGCAGAGAAATTTACTAGGTGTGTTGTGCTTTGTAGTGTTTTTGAAAGTTGTCTTTTCGTGTGAAAATTGTTTGACAAAGAGGACAAATAATGTGCTCTTTGGGGCCCCAGAGTGACTCAGCCAGCATTCTACGGGAAGACCATATATGTCGTCTGATGCCCTTCCTTTCAGCTGCATGATACGAGCACCGATGGCATTTGGAACGCCTGATATGTGTTCGCATATGTTTTCTGAGTCTTATTAAATCGTGAACAGGGCTAAAGAGAATGTAAATCATACCTTAGCTGACTTTTCATGCGATAGCCATCTAGTCGTTGACATCCCTCATGTTGACAGTAGTACAATCCGTCAATTGGCAAATGTGCGGTTGCTTTCTCTGGAAGCATCTCAGCATATTCAGATTCGCATCCAGCTGTCGCCACAGGACTAGAAGCCATCGACCCAGCGTTGTCAGCATTAACAACTGCACTGGGCTCAGTGACTAGATCCGTGATACCAAATCCGCTCCCGCTGCCTTCACCATCCATCCTGTCTTCAATCAATTGAAAGTCGCCGCATATGGCACTCTATAGAGCATCATCCACGTCGTATATTTCCTGAAAAGAAGCAGGCGGGTTCCCTATGAGAGGAAGGTGCGCAGGGACTTCCGGGAATTCCTGATACTCGCTGGCGATGTATGTGACGGAAGTCTCTCGAGTCGCAGGAATGATTTCGGTAGAAAGATATCCGGAGGGGCCGTACGTTGGCTCGATTGGACCTTCAATAGTGTTGTGGAAATAGGCGTTGGTGCCAGCGCCACGGTAACCCGGTGAATCTGACTCCATTCTCAGCTTCTTCAGGTTGGCCTGCTGGTGAGAGAGGAGAGAATTACGACTTGACGATCCGAAACTAGGTATAAATAGCCCATTCACCGGGAGAGTCATCCCTTCTGTCGTCATTCTACCACACTGAAGGCATTTCTACTGGGAAGAAAGACCACATTAGCACAAATTCAACAATACGCCAAACTGGGTTGGGCAGCCATGCAGGTATCCAATCAGGCTCCGCCACGACAGTTCTTACCACTGATCTCTATTGGCTACCAAATACAGACTAACGCGCATGACTAGTTTGGAGCATTTCAACCAACCGCATAATAGTTATGAAGATAAAAACAAGTTGCATACTCATCAGGTGGAAATCCTGGTGGCAAACATGTGTCTTCTCTACGAATTTTTATGCCCATTTAAGGTGCCTTCTAGCCTGGCGATTTGATCTGAGCGCACAGTGTCCTGCAGGCAGGGGGGATAACGTATGTGTGGCTACTACGACTCGCTAAACAATTTGGTTGACAGATCATTTAAGTAGAGTACCAGAACGCTGTCTTCGTTTTTCACAAAGCTACAGCGATCAAAGTCACGTCAGCGCTGCTATAGTTACGCTAAAGAACTACCGCGGCCTGGAAGTTTTGCCTTATCTTCCAAAAACTATCTAAGGGTTTTTTTTCAGTGCCAAGTCAAGTCTCCGCGGGGAAAATGGTCAATTCAGACAGTAACATCGCTAGCTTGGGTCAGTGTGCCACACATTCAGGCAGTGACATCTCTCATGTCTCGATAGACGAGCTACTGGGCAAGGTGACGTTCCAAGCCTTTGTCACAGGATTATCGGCCCGGGTACAAGAAGGCAACCTGGAGATCATGGTAAGAGTTCATTCAATCACAATAGCCTCACGACCATTCAGAATTTGATACAAACCGCGAACCAGGCTTCAATCGAATTTCTTGAAAAATATGACTACGCCGCCGGTCTAAGCAGCCTACGAGAGAGCCACACGCATTTAGTATACAACGACAGCGATGAGCAGCCCCAACATACGCTCTTCCAGATTCTTGGTTTCACTTACCGGACAGACTCCGAACTCGCTGCCTATCGTCTCATTCAGCATATTCTTAACCCCCACAACAAAGAAGCCACTTCCACTGTGAAGCCATTCGGCTTCGTGGAAACTCCCATTGCTGCCTCTGATAATGATTTACCCAAATACACATCCTCTCTATTTATGGAGGCACAAAGATGGGGTGAGATACCTCATCAGGAAGATATGATGTCGAGCTTTGATCCACCACAGTTTGAGGTCAAGATTAGTTTCCGAGGGGTGACGTGTACCGGAGTCGCACAGAGGAAAAAGGTAGCCCGTCATTTGGCGGCGAGGGAAATCTGTCAAAGGTTAAATATCGGCATTTAGCCGCATGAGCAACATACTGATATTTAATGAGAAAGCAATATGCGACTTGGTAGCAAGACACAAGGGGCCTCATTGCGAAATTAGTAACTATGACATCAGAATTTCCTTTTAGCGGGACTATTTCCTAATGAATTCGGTCAACAAATATACGCTTGCCACGGCTAACCAGCAACCCATCTTCCGTACATGAAAGACGTTGCATTGAAACACTCCATTGTGATTTATATCCATAAAGTAGTATCCATAAAGTAATCCATTCTAATAGGGGACTACTGTAATCCAAATATTCCAAGTAAAAACAGCGAAGAAACGACGTAGCGTTGTTTGCATTCCATGCACTGTTTAGCGGCTTACACACTAGAATCAATTTCCGGCTTGGGGGCCTGAAGATGTTCAAGCACTCTTTCTCCATGTCTCTTTAGGATTTTCCGGAAGCTAAGCATATATGCTTGACTATTCTCAATATGAAACAACCTGTAATCAACCGCTGGTGTGTGACGATCTTCTCGCAACTCAGACAAAGCGACTAAAAATGAACATTCCCAGGTCTGTGCAACATACTTTAACACAGTCAAGCTCCAGAGAGAACTTTAATCGCGGCATCTGCAACTATCACAACAGCTTGGTTCTTGGTCGAGCAATTTTCGACTGATGCGATTCTCTCGCTCCCTAGCCATACAGAAGCACTGTGAAGGCCATTGCCTTTTTTCTGGAATTGATATCGTGGAGTCTGTGTCCCTGAAATTTGATGCAGTTTGCTGGTTGGGTGTTCGAGGTGAATCTCTTTCCCCGCAAACCGCTCCAGATGATTTAACAGACTAATCCTTTCCAGAAAGCGCTCGCACGTATCTAAGCAACCTCCGCTATCGACATAAATTGCTCCGATTGTGCTCTCGATAAGATCCGAGTAGAACTTGGATGGTCCTAGCTGAGCGAGTGTCGCCCACGGATATGAGACATGTTTCTCGAACTCGTCTTTGATCAGGCCGCCCAATGATTGATATCGCGTGCTGCATAAAGCCTGAATCTTGATTAGATCAGGGGAGTCATGACGCATAAACATCCATAAGGAGACAATCTTCGGTTCGGCCATCATTTCGGGCGGGTCTGACTTCGACTTCGAGCCGTGGCAGCTTGTCTCGAGCATGCTGAGTTCCATACAGAGAAAGGCTAAAAAGTCTGCATTTACCAGAGCCGCGCGGATCTCCGACATTCGGCCTTCGTCAAGCTTTGGGCACCATTTTTGCACGTTTCTGGACACTAGAAATTCAAGAACCGCGTCTCCCAGAAACTCGAGCCGCTGATAGGATCCAGCTGTTCTGTCTCTTTGCCATGATGGATGAGTGAGTGCTTCCCAAATCAAAGCCCGGTTCTTGAACTTGAAGACCAGCAGTAGGTCAATCTTCTGATCCAAGTGCGTGGAGAACGAATAGTACTCGTATTGTGGGCTCTGAAGTGCACTTGAGATGTCCGCAATTTCCGGGAGAAAAATGGCAAGAAGCTCTTGCGAAAGCGGAATCCCACCACTTTCGTAGGCAGCTGCAGTCAACGCTTCAAGGACATCGGCGAAAGTCTTTTTGGGAAATCTTCTGTTCTGCTTTCGATCCGCGGCTGGCGAAAACATGAGATATTTCAACGTGATGAAATCCGCACAGATGAACCTTTCGAGATGAGCATGAACGGCTACCTGTGTCAGTTTCTGATTTGAGACTAGCAAGTCCTTGAATTTCGACAGGTAGCCTTCGTGCCACAGTGGATATTTATAGAACGCGTGTCTAGCAACCACAAGCTTGAGGATAGAGTCACCGAAAAATTCTAGCCGTTGATAATCAGTTGGCCATTGAGAAGCAGGTGTCGTTATAGCCTCTGTAAGTAAGCTGGAGTCAATCATAGGGAGATCTTTGAGAACCTTCATCCGTAAGCTATGTGCCATTAGGTTTTGATGCAGAAGCTGCATAATTGGTGGAATTGCAAGGCTAGCCAAACTCAGCTCCCAAGGCATGAAATCAATGATGCAGTCTGTGGCAGCTACGCACGCCGTTTTGAGGCCGCCTGGCTCCGATGATGTTCTGGAAGATAATGAAGCTCGCTGCAACAGGTTTTTTCTTCTCCCAAATTTCTGGCATTCTATGGAGAGTTCTTTTGTATTTGGTTCCCGTACCCATCTCACAAAAGTATGAGGAGCAAAACGAAGGCTGGGGCTGCGGATGAATCCCGAGGGGGAGAGTATCGGGATTTTGGTTTGTTCTGTGCCTATGATGAAAGATCCCTGGTTGACGAATAGCCAGTCCTCTAGCTCCTGCATAGGAAGATCTGGGATGAAGAATGGGAAATAGTCGGGGTACTGGCTGTCCCGAGGACGGACGCGTGGCGATTGGAGAAGCAAAGTCGTTATACTTCTTATCAATGCCCTCAAGGACGGAGCAAGTGCCGTTTCGATGTTCAGAGGCTGCAAAATTGCAGTGAGGGTTGTTTTGGCGTCCCAGTAAAGATTCAGATTCGCAGTTCGGGGCACCTTGACAGGCGTAAGAAGTGCTAATGATAGTTCTGGCCGGCTTTCTCCGTTCTCGACAAAATCAATGCGGCATTTGTACATTGTTCCTACCATCCAGTGCCCAGGAACTTCCTTCCAAAAGTCATGCAAGTTCGAAATAGTAGGCATAATAGGCATCTCGGAAAGAACTTCTCTCTCGTGAACCGCTTCCACTGCCGCGGCGCTGTCAGAGAACAGTGGCAAGATATGGTCGTTGATGAGACCCCGACTGTGCAAGGCGAGGACAGCTTGAAATGCGGCATCCTGACGGGCAGCCCGCTTCGTTTTCCACCAGTGATGACCTTTCACGATTCTCAAAGAAGGGTCCACGCCACTCGGCATATAAACCGTTGACCGAGTAAGCTCTGCCCTATCTTTCTCGTATGAGAATTCTGGACGATCTATGCCAGGTCTTCCACCCCGTAGAGTTGTGCAAAAATGATACAAATGTGATATAGCATTTTCGCTTATCAGCAAGGCCCTGTGAAAAAAGGGTTTTCATTAGTCACAAAACGATAATCAAGAAAGGGCAGTCGAACCCGGTGTGTGTTCTAAGCGAAAGAAGAGTCTCTTTCGAGTACTTATCGCCCACTTCTAACGCCTGCGCACATCGTTCGTAGTCCCGACATATTCCCTGCAGCTGCTTTTCAAGTTCGCCCCACAGCTTGGACCGCATAGATATGGATTCCACACCTATTGCCTCCATCAAAGCAAACTCCGATACGCGGTGTCGTGCTCGACCCCGGCGCTGAATGAAAGCTATCATGTTGTCTGCGCTATCAAATGAAATGACAAGACGGCAGGCGGGGATATCGATACCCTCCTCGAGGACGCTGGTTGCGATGATCAAGTTTTTCAAGCCGCTGCGGAAGTGTGAAACCACAGTCTCCGTTTTTTCGAAACTCCAAGCATCATTTTTGGCCCAAGACTCAGAGTCAGCAGTGCTGCTCACACAGGGTGCACATTGATATAGATCTCGCGTCAATGGATGAGCATTAAGCAACGCTGATAGGACATACGCAGTAATCCTCTCTCGAACGAAAATGATCCCCGAGAAGTCTGGGCTGAATTTTTCCAGCAGAAACGATATGAGCGCTTCGACCTTATTCGAGATGTTGCCAGGTTCGACCAAATGGAGAACATGGCCTTCTATATCACTTCGCAGACAGGCAATCAAAGCTGTTGATTCAGGATCAGCTCCCCTGTCAGAGAGGCATTCTTCATGTACGGCGATGTAGTGGGACACATATGGAATTTTGATATTAATGTAGTGTCGTAAAGCCCAGATCCCTAGCTGGGCCCAAATGGCATGAGCCTTTCTAGGAATCTTTAATAAGTCGGTAGGGACAGTGCGGCCATTTTGTTCTTTCAGAGCTTCGATGAGTATCCCCAGCTTGTGCAAAGATGACGGCAGATTTACCGAGTCATCTTGGATTTGAGTGTAGGCAATCTTAGTGAAATTCCGTTGCGAATCATACGCGGTCAGCTCTTGCTGCTCGACCAATGGGGCCCGACAACTGGCGTCTAGATTCTGTTCAAGCTGCCTTATAAAATCGTTGGTGAGATGCCCTGAACCAGAGTAGGACTCAGCGTACCGAATTTTTGTTACATCAACTGCCGCTGTTAAGCCGAGAATGCTGGGTACGGCCACATTTTCTGATTTGGCCTTATGGTAGAAGTCACGCATTATACGGTTCCCTGGATGTGACTTCATGCAATGATGAGCTAATTCACGGTTAGATCTTGAGCTGATATGGCTTTAGCTGCTCGTACCTTCATCGAAAACAATGAGAGCTAGTTGGTTCAGTTTTATGAACCCGTGAGTGAGCGCATCCGCAAGTACAGCATGAGTAGATATAACCACTTTCATGCCCTCGAGGGCCCTGTTCCAGATAGCTTGGTTGCTCCAACAGTCAACTCCATCATCCCCTGTCAGCGCTCGCATGCTGACTGCAGGCATGTGTTTTGAAAGGTAAGCCAACTGCTGGGTACACAAGACCCTTGTCGGGGCCAAAAACCACACCATCTCCCACAGTTAATTCCTTGTTCTATCTCTGTTTCAGAAATTTTCTTACCTGGTGGACCTGACAGCGCTCAAGTTCGGCCATAATTCGCATACTGGCTCTGACAAAATGGTCATGCCCCGATCGATCAGACAAATAAGGATAATGAACATACATGTAAGTTTTTCCACTCCCCGTGGGCATCTTATCATCTCAGCATTGAACTTGGACATTATTGACGTGTTTTGACATAGATCTCACCACAGCTATTATATTTGTCTTCATACTCAAATCAAATATTTCAAATTGGTAGTTGCGGGGCCGAATGTTGTCCATGTTCACCGAAAATTGCATTAAAGCACAATTGAGACTGAAGACTGGCATGCTTAATTCTTCGCTTCTTTTTGTAATGGAAGAGAATAAGCATAACCCAGGGTTAGAACGACACGTTGGTGCCCAATTCATGTGGTATGCAAAGGCTATTAACCCAATCATAACGTGCGACGTGGACTGGGGATCCAAGGCAGCCCGTCAAATGTACGGGTCTCCCTATCTGCGCCTACTCGAACCATTTCAAAACTTGTGGTTTCTGGAGTTGGTTTTTCTTAATTACAGGATCCGTGCTTCGTTGGCGACAAGAGTCCCATTCAGTCCTGCAGTCCTTTTGACATATCCTAGTCGGATGATAGGGCCCATCCGCCCCACCCCAGTGTCCCTAACATTGCGCCCCGCGAGGTATGCCGCGGAGCAGATGATGTGAATGAGATACTGAACTCATGGTAAACTATATCCTGTAATCCGACTGGTTGGTAGTTCTTGGCGGCCTCCCACGTCAACGGCCTCCCGCGTTAGTAGCCTGCATGTTCGTTTTTTTGACATGGATCCTGACCTGCTCTTATCCCCGATGTGTGATATGATGCCAAGCGTTTATTGGCATTCAACTTCGGCATTCCTCACTGTCATATACCACTTACCCAACTTTTCCTACAACCACCAATCTGGTTCTTTTTACTACTTTGCTGCTGACATCTCTTTCGCACCTTTCCGGTCTACACAGCATTGTAGATTGTGTTGTACATTCAACCACGTCAAATTCTGCATGCGCACCTAGTCTGGTTTGGACTGTGGCTGGTGACCTAAAGCTCCAAGGGTTACTTTCAGCCCAGATGGATGAAGTAGAGAGAGCCTTTATCTTGGCCAGTATCTCTTTCACCGGGAGTGGTGGCATGCGACGTTCAGGTCAGATTGGTAGCAGTACACCAAATATGACTCGCTAATGTTCGTCCTGCACAGCTTACAAAGTTCGAGGATCCGGTGCTTCACATTCTTTATCATTGAGTGGATGCGTTGAAGTTGCAGTCCTTCTATAATTTATAGCACACATTGCAACCTGGCTTGACGTGCCAAGCCAATTACGCAAATTCATCGGAACAGTAGAATGACTAACAAATTTGTTACGACGTAGTCATGTAGCAACAATAAACTTGCTTCACTTTCCCATTTCGAACAGAAATATGTAGGTGGGAACTAGAAAGCTCCAAGGCCCCACATAGGAGGTTTCACTGACATAGCTCAGTGTTATATTTCAGGGCGAAAAACCTATCTTTATAGGCTAGTATGCCACTTTCGACTACGCCCTGGTGATAGAAGACGGGAGGTCCAAATGCTACGCAGGCAAGTGAGCTGCACTAGAATCATTTGATCTTCTACCACCACAAGCTCAGAGATACGGCGAGAATAGTCACAAATATCAACAATTTTTAGAAGGTTCAATTCCGCAATGAGGAAGAATCAACACTGCGAGATGCGAACTATACGAGGATCAGCAGTCGGCATTGAACCGGACAGCGCAGATATTGATAATTCTCATTATGGGCCATAGAGCGTACCGACTGCTCATAAAAGGATACATCCCAATATGCGTAGATAGGTATCTTAAGAGGCCCTTTCGAATTCGAGTCAAATGCTGAAACAGCATGTACTACCTAAGTGGCACTTGCGGAGGACTTGACTCGGAACCACAAACCCACCAGGCCAATAGATATGTCCTTCGATTTCGTGTAACCATCAGCACGGATTATTCCAAGGAAAATGGCGCAACAAGACCCGAACCGCTCGACAATAGCGAGGAATGAGGTTATCAACATGAGTTTTCCGGGTATACTGCTGCTAAATGTAAACCTCCTGCCTGTCGAACCTTGCGAAATTCTTATCCACTTTCACGGCTAACTCTAAGCGTTTGTAGCTCACTTGGCTAATAGCAATATGCGATTTAGGCAATGTTTTTGGTCAAGTTCATATAAGTCAGCAAGTGACAAGAGCAACGCCGACCTCTGAACCCACTCTTCGCCCATTGAGAGCTTAAGACTCCAGTCGGAGATCGTGCTCCTCAATCGTGATATGCCCTTGGAATGTACGTGTCTTGGCCAGGAAGTTGACCACCTGCGAAATCCTCTGCTCAAATGTCTATGGTGGATGAGATTAACTGGATTCAATTTCTGGGCCTATTGAAACTTTGGTTCGAGAATCGAGGTAGAGAGATCAAGCATCCCATGATACAATGAGCGTAGAGGGACGAAATGAAAGCCCGTGGGCTGCATGAATTGTCTTGCTGCAAGAGAAATGCACCCTTAACTATTGGAGATCTTCTGAAAGCTCCCTACATAGAACAGTTGATGGATAGGGATATCCTAAGCACACTGACCCTGATTAACTAACGTAATTCCCGGCTACCCTAGCTGCGACAGAGTGGCCGTTCAACGAAGTTCCATCTGCGATACCACACTATATATACCGGACTCTGGGCAGTATCCGCAACTGCGGATATTAGTGATCTTTTATGGTCTTGTTGATTAGTGTTCCGCCCAGAAATACTTCCCGTGACACTAGCCACCCGGTTACCCTGGCCACCCCAAAACACCATACTGAATGCGTTTTTTCGCAACTTCATATTTCAACATTCAACACTGATTATCAAATTCTTAAGACATCTTGATGCTTAATACGTCGTATTGGATATTTATATCAGGTCGTATAATATTCCAAGCCGTAACAATACAGGCATCAATGTCTACGTCGCTCGATCGCGGCGCACTTTTGGTGAAAGCGGTGTTTAATCATTCCTTGGAGTAATCAAGTACGCCGTAGTAATTTTCAGTACTACGAAATAATATCATGTCAAAGTTGAAGTGGAATTTTTTGCTCGTTGTTGATATATTGTGACATGAAATATTGCACTTTGTACGGTGCTTTGGGGTGGCCGAGACGGCCGGCCTCGCGAAATCGGGGAATCTGACGGCAAAGGCGATTTGGGATGCTGAACACTTGGCTTCCAATATTCAAGGGGTTAACGATAATCAATCTTCGATGATTTTTCAATTGGGGGTGGAAGTTCATCGGGGGGAGGATGTTCAGGTTCCATCTCTTCGGCAGGCTTCGTCGTTATCAAGGTTTCCTTTGAGTTCTTTTTCACCATGGTTATCTCCGAGAATTTGGCAGGGATGGGTTGGAGAAGAGAAAGATTTTGTAGGGACCTCTTTTCGTTTCTCAAATATAGAGGATAGGGCACCCTGGTCGAAAGATGAGGGGCAACGCAAGGATGAGCTGTTCAGCAGGGCGTTGAGACACGTCACGCGTGAATTGTGGATCTGGCGTATTTTTGCGTTCTGAGCCTTCTAAGCCGTTTATCTGTGCCTTTGTAAAGCCTCAACACTGCGTCCCGGAACTTTTTGGTCAATAACTGATTTTTTGGTCTATTGAGGCTGCATCGTGTCTCGTAGGCCAATGTTTACGCTACAGACCGTATAGTGCATCCGTGATGTATGGACCCACCAGTCTCGAACCACTTGGCATAGAACACGGAACTCTTTGACGTGGCAATGATCACGATGAATGCTGTACGTGTACATGTCACGGACCATGCGACACTATGGGTCGCAGTCTACAAAATGGCCACCAAGAGCCCAACCGCCGTTCCGCAGCCATGACCGCCCCAAGGTCACGTGTAAGAAACAACAACCGAAACCATGGCGTCTCCCCACGGGGCGGAGCTATCGTAAGACGGGACAGGCCGTGCAGTGGACGCTGTCCTATGATAAAGGGCGTTGCGTGCGACGAACTAGCTTGCGAACGACCCACGACTCCTGGGCAACGACTGGAAACTGTGGTCAGCCGCACGACAAGGACCACCTCCGGAAACAGGAGAGACTCACGACATCACGTGACAATCCCCGAAAATGTTAGAATCACGGAAGGAGGACGGACTCATCAGGCGATGAGCCCTTAATGGCGGGATCACGGAAGAAAAACTTATCGGCCGATGAGCTTTTTCGCATCAGTTGATGAGTTGGCGCTCATCAAGCCATAGGAAGGACCGGATTATACGGACACTGATTTAGCACCATGTATTTAGATCTTCGCGATTAATTGCACATGATTGCTTGGTTACAACCTTGAGCACTTCGCACTTCACAGTTCACTTTAAAGACAACCCAACCTACAAGTAGGGAATTCACTCAGGAGGAACACTTAGTGATTACCCACTCGGCACGCACCTCTGGCACGTCCTGCAAGACCCTCATCTAGATCCAGCCCGCAGTAAGGCTTTGCGAAGCGACGGTACGATCGAGAGACCAGTCTTGGGATTCGCATTTGAAATAAGGCAAGTATAACCAGTGAACTTTCTAACTCACAGTGACCAGTTCAAGGAGAAGATGATTGACCCACATAAATTGCGGTTGTATCTGCCCCCCCTCCCTCTGTGACCACACTTCAGGCCTATTATAGAGCTGTAAACAGACTCCCTCCGGTTGTTCTGTCTTCCAGGCCGTTAGGACCCACAAATAAGTAAAGGTCAAGGTGGAGTGAAATACCTAAAATCTCCTGCCTAAGATGAAATCTCCACATTCTCTGTCCTCGGCATACTTCTTAACGTAATATTATCATCATCACGGAATGTTTTTTGGTATGAAATTCTCATGTGAAAACTGCGTCGTCTGGACTGTGTGAATATGGTACGTTCATTCAAATCAAGAGATGTAAAGAGCCATTAGATTCTCAGCTGCTGTACCTCTAATCCCGACGCAGCTATACGATGACACACTCTTCATGGCAAAGTGATCGTGGTTGTTAAGTTAAGCTGAACTGAGAGAATGTAGTCTATTCATCTAGAGATGCTCAAGTGGTGCTGGTTTCTCGAAGTGAAAAATGTGACCGCGTTTGAGTTGGATACATTTCGATTGAGAAGACATCGAGTTCCTTGGACCAGAGGCCACTTACGTTCACCCAGAGTGAGCAGAAACCTTGGACCGCTTCTCTTTCTTCTTCATCTTCTTTTTTGTCGTGGGTTCATGGTCGCTTAAGATCGCAGGTTCTTCGGTTGGTGCAGGAACTACGTCCACTGACTCAAGGCTTGGACTCACAGTCTCAACTTCAACTTCAGGGAATGAATTTTCATCAACCGTTTCGTCAGGTATCTCAGGTGAGTTTGCCGTATCAGCCGGTGGAAAGGAAATATTAGATCTCTCTGTACCCAGCATCGCTACTTCTTGCAACGATTGAATTCTGAGTTGCGTCGATAGATCCCGAGCATTCGCGAGGCTGTAACCTAAGAAATTATTAAGGTCTCGTGTAAGAATATCAATGTCTAGGCTGAGGAATCATACCGTCTGTTCTCAATTTGACAAACTCTTTGCAGGTCTCAAGGCCCTTCTGCAAGGTTTCAAGCTCCTTGCGAAGCTGCGCACGAATGTTTTGATTCTCTTCTGACTCGCCAGCAATTCTTCGGACCAGATCTGTGGACATGTCGAACACTGTCACTGGAGACAAAATGCGCGAAAGAGAAGCCGTAAGCTTGCCTTCTACAACTTCGTTGGCAATGTCGTCCACGAATCGCCTCAATGCTACCTGTCTCAAGTCAATTTCATGTATGCGGTGGAGCGTGGGAATGGATTACCTTGTAGTAGGCAAGCATGCAATCTAGTGCCTCGATCGATGCGTGATGGGCCATGTCAGTCTCTGATTGTTGTGTGAGCAGATTGAGAAGGTGCAATAGGTTAAATGATCTATCTGCATAGATAGACTGCTCTATAGAGCTTACGCCAAAAAACTGCTGGAGAGTTGCAGCTATCTTAGTTCTCTGCCGTGCCGTTCGACTTTCCTGTAAGTTTTCAGTGAAGTAGTGATTGTAGGTGATCGGATGGCCAATTCGGTGAGGTTGAAGAAGCTCCTTGACCTTCATGCTCATCTCCTCTTTGATAGAGTTGCAGGCTGGATCAATGATCTCCCTAATCAGCGCCGCTGAGGTGGCCTCGTCCGAGGTATGTTTGACCACAAGAATCAGAAACTCTCGAGCAGCGGCCCAAAGGCTATCAGTATGGCGGTAGGTGAGTTTCTCCCACGGAGAACATTGTTCTAAAAACAGATCACGAACGATCATGGGGTTGAAAGTCCCAGGAAGCTCGCGCCCCCTGGTTCTCTTGAGGAGATCGCGGATATGCTCGATATATTTCTCACGGGTAATGTCAACTTGATGCTTAGCCGGAGGCTGTTGCCTTTCAGCGTCAACTATACGACGTTGATGCCCACTTTCGTCAATAACATTGGCAAACTTCTCGTTTGAGTTTTGCATGATGGCTCGGATTCTCTTCTGACACCCATCGGGCGAGTGAGCGTCACCGAAGAAATTGTCGTTGTACGTGCCGTCGACAGCTGCTTTGACCAGTTCCTGAACACACTGCGCTATGTTCATCAGATAGGACTTCTGTTCGTTAATGCTTACTCGAGGTTCGCCGAGCTGTTGCAGGCGTGTTTCGCATTGGCCGGCTTTATCTTCAATTTCTCCAATGAGGCTTGGCAGCTCCGTAGCAATCTGTGAAAGGAGCACCGTACTCAGCCGGCCTCGCAAAGTGGTAACGCCGACAATCGATCTCGGTAAGTCTTTCCAAATGCCTCGAGAGAAGAATTTGAACTCCTCAACATCGCGCTGCTCTCGGGTCGATTGCCCGTGGTCCATATCCATGTTCCTCAACACATGCCACCCAAGCCGAAACTCCACATCTAAATTCTTCGCCAGTGAGACGAACATTGCTTCGCTTTCCGAACCAGCGGCCAGTGTATCAGGTTTTGTGATGATACCAAGTGTTCGATTTCCGAGTTTATCCGCGCTTCGAGCCAGTTTGAGGACGATTTGATTCGCAAAGTCATTCTTCGCGGATACGACAGCAAGTATAATGCTGCGTGGCTCCTGCATGTAGGACTGAACTACCTCCTGAACAAGTTGGATATCCGTTGCCGACTGTTGTTTGGTTTCTGAGTGGATCAACCCCGGGAGGTCAACAATGGTCAGATGAGGCCGATCCGGTCCGGACACCTCGACTCGCAACAAGTCATTGGAGAATGCTTTGCCGCGAGTGTTTATTCCCATGGCTCCCTTTGCCTTCTCTATCAACATCGGCAGACCTTCAAAGCTGTCAAGCTGTTCGCAAAATTCACCCAGGGCTCGTTGCTCGACCTCACTGCGGGTTTGATGGGGAACAATAGATACACGAACCCCTACTCTTGGGTGCTTTCGAAGAACGAGCTCGGTCGGAAATCGGGTGCATAAGTTGCTCTTCACGGGAAAAGTAACACCTGAAATAGCCTCTAGAACTGAGCTCTTTCCGGAAGACTGGTCACCACAGACAATGATCTGGGGCAGTGATACATAGTGATCGATGCCTTGAGAACGAAGAGTGTCGATGGAGTTAAGGAGGTCCAGCTGTTCTTCGGAACACAGGTCCTTCAAGGCATGGGTGTTAAATCTTCGTTTCTTTTCTCCTTCCCCACCTACTTTTTACTGTACTCTAATCGCTCAACTAGATAGCTTAGAGAAGGAAAATCCGGGATGCAAGGGCGGGTGTCCCGAAGACCAATGAAAGTCCCGGTCACTTGATTGAAATATCTTTAACTTAAGGTAAAATTGTGTTATCTGTGTTTCTGGATTAATACTGCAAACGAGTGACGGACTTGTGATATATTCTGAAGGTGACTGTGAATATAGCCAGAGAATAATTCAGGGCGATGACACAGTAACTAGTCACTGATGAATACTATCAAGATGATCAGGCAACTTCTCTGTCTCTTGAAACGTGGTGACAGATCAACCTTGAACTTAACACTTTTCTAGCACATTATACTTCGGATGAAGCTTCCAAAAACGGAGTAAATATGCCGTGGCGAGTGAGTGCCACGGCCGATTTACTAAGCCGTCTAGACCTAGTACGGTAATTTTCACCATCTTTGCGGACATTTCCCTGGCTGTGATCGAATCTTCCTTTTGTCACATAGTAAAGCCCGACCCGCCCAACAATGTGGCTTAAAATTGCCGTTTGACTAAGGCGGAGTTTATTGCTAATCACATGTCAAGTCTAATTCGGAGGTGATGCAGGTCTAGGCATGCCTTATTTGAGCGAATCTGCGACTTGTTCCACGGAACAATCCTGGACCTGCGACATAATTTTTCCTTGGAAGCGTATCTTCCCTATTATGTGTGCAATGAGGTAGTATTCTAAGTGGTGACTTGAATGAGTAAAATGACTAGTCGGACAAACAGATAAACAATTTATCCAACATGCGTAAAAGGGTATCGAGAGGCTTCAGTAGTAGTATCAGGTATCTCTTGCTTTAGATTGGATCTGCATCCATATATAGAATGGAGGTAGGCCCATTCCAACCTATGAACTAGGTCAATACCTGCTTGACAGCGAGTCTATGCGATATTGATGGTACCTCTAGATTCCCGATAGATTCTCCATGTCATGTTCTATTCGTTTAGCTAACAGAAAAACAGATAGATTGCTTACATCCAAGTACCTTAACGAGTAAGAAACAAAACCAACATCACATCTTCTTCAATCCAGCTCTAGCTAAGCAGTATGAATCAAGGGAAAGAACTGCAGTGAAAGGACGAACAAAGGCAAGGATTCAAACATAAACGATTAACTTGAAGGCATCTCGCTAAATCCAGTGAATGCTATGATCGCGTGTGTGTATTAGATGACAAGTCATAATTGGCAATCGAAAGCTTTGATGTATTATCGTACGGCGAAGAAGAGGCTTGATTTAGAAGTCAATCTCGAATGAATTCTGAGTTATCCTGTCCGTCTGTATGCTAAATCGCCATAGTGGGGATAATCCTCTCAGTCCGAGGCGATCTGTCGGACTAACGGTTTAAGAAAGTGAATTATGCATTTCCAAAGCTGTGTATAGACAGATACGAACGTGTATTGACAAATAAGTACGTACTGTAAAAAGGCAAAGCTTCTTAAGGGGTAACGCCGGGAATTAGGTCATTTCACATTTCGTCTTTTGCATAGTATGGCGAAATCGGCACTTTGAGGAGCATCTCCTGCCGATAGGTCTCTGATCAGTCCAGGAAGGCCTTCTGGTACAAACCTGCTTCCAGACACACCGCTATTGTGACTCATTGGGCCTGAAATTCTATCGTTCGTGGTGTATATAAGAGGTAGGTATCAGGATCATGCTTAGGAGAATTTTGGTAAGGACACAGGGTAACTCTAAAATGTCATCGTGCTTGCATAGAGAAGACCGTGCTAGTATGTTTCTGGGTGATTTCATTTTTTCATCTCAACACATTCCAAGAAAAGATCTAACAACATGATTTTCAAGACTTCGCGTACCATTTGAGTTTGTTGAAACTTGATGAGTCCGATGGCCAGTCTGACGAAGCACTTCTTGCCCCCGTACTGACTGGTACGGTTCTCAACCAACCATCGCTCGGCCCTACGCAATATGGACTACTAGGGGGCGTGAAGAGAATCGATACGCCTACATACTCTACCATGGACGATGAAGTGACGAAAAATGATCCCCGGTTATTTTTCAACGTTTCATCACCGTCGAGTGTGTTCATTTGCGGCTCCCAAGGAACCGGAAAGAGTCACACGCTGTCTTGTTTACTAGAAGGGTGCTTGATTCCATCCAAAGCCGGCAGACTGTTAAGTCCCTTGACAGCTGTCGTATTTCACTATGATACATTTATCTGTGACGGTGGTGGCTCGCCCTGTGAAGCTGCCTTTCTGTCATCTCATCCCGATCTGAAGGTCAGAGTGCTTTGTGCTCCGACTAACCTTCGTACTATCAAGGTAAGGTGGGCAAGCATTACTGAAGCTCACATTGCTTACAATACTACAGGGTACCTACTCAAGATTCAACATCGAGGTACAACCTTTGCAAATTGATCAGTCCCATCTGAATACCAAACGAATGCTGGATCTCATGTCAGTTGCCCGGGATAGCGGCGCTGGCCCATTATACTTGCAGACTGTTCAACGGATACTACGAGAGATGCGTCTACTCCAACAAAGCACAGGACTTCCGTTCGACTATCAAGAATTCAAGACTAGGGTACTTGGTTCCGGGCTGTTGACTGGTCAACTGGAGCCCTTGAAGCAAAGGTTGGATATTCTTGAGAGCTTCATGCCACCCCATCAGGCAAGCGCGGGTTCCAAAATCAAGAAAACGAAGGCCAAATCCCGAGATGGAGGTTCAAACTGGGCACCCAAGGTACTGTAATCCAAGTTCACCTCTGGGACACTTGAGCTTATCTGTGATTCAGGCCTCGCAGTTGACAATCGTTGATCTCTCCTGTCCTTGTGTTTCCCCTGATACCGCCTGCAGCCTCTTTAACATTTGTTTTGAAATCTTTATGGAACAAGATACCAAAATTGGTAGAATCGTCGCCCTTGATGAGGCCCATAAGGTGCGAATGATAAATTCATTGTGTTTTCATTCTACTTACTCGCTATGTAGTATATGAAAGATTCTGTCGAAGCCCAGAATTTCACAGACACCCTTCTCTCTACTGTTCGACTACAACGTCACCTCGGTGCTCGCATCTTTGTTTCAACTCAGGAGCCAACCATCTCCAGCGACCTTCTCGATCTATGCTCTGTCGCTATTGTCCATCGGTTCTCATCGCCTGCATGGGTGCGTGCATTACAATCGCACGTGGCTGCTGCAGCTTTAAATTTACACGTAACGAAAGATAGTCAGGCAAAGAATGAGCAGGCACCCCTCGATATTCCGGCAAAGCTCTCTATCTTTCACCAGATCGTCAACCTTAAAGTAGGCGAGGCGCTGCTCTTTTCGCCGGGTGCCATGCTAAGCATCGTGTCTGAAGAGCCTGAGCTACAAGAAATGGTCAGATTAGGCTCCGGATATATGACTATCAAGGTGCGAGGCAGACTCACAGACGACGGCGGAAAAAGTGTGTTATCCACTTGAAACTATCTATGAATATGTGTTTGATAATGAGGCTTGCTGTTACAGTAATGTTTCTCGGGGGCGGAACATTAACCAACAAGACCATAAAAGATCACCCATATCCGCAGTTGCGGATATTGCCCAGAGTCCTATATATAGTATGGTAACGCAACTTGATATTTCCGTTGATCGGCCACGCCGTAACACTTACCTTCGAGGACATTTTTCTTCCGTCGACCTGCAAATTTTTCCTGACTAAATTTTTTTTTGGGCTGCAAAATTCGATTAAAAAGCAACACTGCATCGTTCGCTCTCACATGGAGCTGGAATCACACCGCAGTCCAGGTATCGCTCACTGCTAAGTATAACTCCTACATAAGGACATATCATTAATATCAACTTATCAGTTTCTTCCCTAGGCGTTGATTTTTATGCGACGGATGATAATAGACGAATGGCGCTCTCGTACGTCGCACAGAATGGTGATCCGGCGCTCGTAGACTGTTTACTCGAGTCGAGACTGGCCGACCCAAACTTCCAATCATTAAACCTTTGGCTCGTGCTAGCAATCCTCTGTCTTGATCTCTGAAACGATTTAGTGATTGACTTCGCAGCCCAGTGTGAAATCGGCAGTTGAAGGACGCAGCGGAATTGCGGTCCTTATTCAAATTCAATTTTGGATCCAGTAACATTATCCATCGAAAACTAGAGTCCTGGATACTGTATACCTAAGAATATATTGACACCGGGGTACCTCGACTGCGAACCGAAAAGCAAACAGGGCAACTCTCCCGTCACTGTCTGACGTCTCCCAGTAAGGTGCATGGCGGAATGCTGTGTTTCTTTCCCACGAAACCACCCATTGAGCGCTCTCCCCCCCACCCCCAATCCCCCACGTTTATCGGTCTCGGGGATTTTGATTGTACGTGGGTCTTCCATGGTGTCGATGTAGAGGGTGCACAATTAGACGGCATGTCATAGGGAAAGTGAAGTGTCTCGACTTTTGCTCGTTCCGTCAACGTGTGCCGATGCACCCGATACCATAGCCAAGTGTCCTTTTAAAATGCCACAGGTGGTGTTAAATTTTCGTATCCAACAACAGGTATGTGTAGATCTGTCGCGGCAAACTACAGTAGTATAGACTAATATTCGGCAGAATGAATGTGTTCAAAGTTCGGTGGTGGTTGCTGTTTATGGTGTGAGATCTAACATATAAAGGGGCCACTTGTCATTAGGATGTATAATGAGAGAAGTATATTCGAAAATCCCGCTCTTCATATTTCTGGACTGAAGATCCCCAAGAGGACCTCCGCTGGGATGCTAGATTTTTGCTGGATAAATACAAAGCTTTGAAATACGTGAGCCCGGATGAATCCCTCGACGAAAACGCTGTCGCCTTAGTAGAGGAGGTATTAGCCCAATGAACCTATGATACTGTTTTTAAGTTGAACCTCGTAGCCATGCTGGCACAAATTGATTGAACTGTTCTGTGGCCTCGTCGCAAGAGTCAAATTGTTCGTAAGGAGGAGGTGGAGGGCGAAATTTCGGTGGAATTTCCGCTAGTGCGACCGTAGAAGGAGCTTGAATTGGCCGGAGGACGAGGTCTTGAATTGTTGTCTACGGAGACGAGGAAGTCAAGCCTCGAGAGCGAGAACAAGTCTGCAACTGGCGTGGCAAAGCTGATTGTGTTTACAGCATTACATGCCACGAAGGCCAGGCAAACTAATCACGTATTACCAGTTAAAATAAATATAGAACGGTCTCGGCGCTATGAGCCTAATAGATTTAAGGGCTCCTCGACCAGGTCTCTGAACTATTCCCAAGCATAACAACACGAGACCATGCGTGGAAGAAGGGTATGACACTTGCGATCTCGAAACACCACAGTCTGGAGCTCTGCGGGGCGAGTGACACCTGGATCCTCCAGATCCAACGTTTCTGTATACTGAATCAAATTTCGTAGACACGTTACCAACTCATTCTTGTCTTTTACTTGGCGTGCAGGCTCTCTTCTCCGAAAAATCGACAGGAATAACAGGAACTAGGGCCTTGGCTTTGGAACGCTTCGACCAATGACATCTCTATTTTTCACTGTCCCGAAGTGATAAGTCTGATTTGATTGTCATTGGCCGTTAACAGGCAGCTGAAACCCCACACTTGGACCTGGACCGCTTTACTTGCACTGTTCGAGACATATTTCTGAGAAATGCTATCGCCTTGCTAAAGTAGCTAATCTGAGGTAAATTTGTATGTATCCCTTAGTTGAACACCTCGTCCTTGAATGGCTGCTTAAGTCCGACAGGCTTGAGGTGGTGGACACTGCATATGCCGTCTTTAGATATGATACTGCCGTGGAACTGATACAGGAGAGAACGCAGAACTAGCCCCTGAACTACATACACGTATTTCGTCAAAGTTTGCGGATTGGCGCGACTTGAAGCAGAATCGAGATCAAACCCCGTTCGAGACGGAGTCCGGGAGAGGACACAACAAAAAGTCGTGGGTGGCTCCAAATTCACCAAAGGGAACAGTTCGTTGCACGATCCTCTGGTAATCGTCATGGATTGTTTCCCAAACTTTCCAGACTGCATTGTGACTGGGCTTCCTGAGGAAACAAGCGAGCTCTTCAGATGGTGCGCCCGATGAATCAAAATGTTAAGTTATGAGAGATGAATTCAGAAGAGTTGCATAGCTGGTATTGCTGAGAGTTCCCACGGGTGGTTTTACGGTGGCAGGGAGAATCCCGTGGTGTTATTTGGTCCCGGCTCATTCCCAGAGCCTGGCAGGCTTACAGAATCAATGTCGCGTCTTCGCCCAGCTGTCCGTGGGGGTTTCGTTCTTAATAGGAAACAGCATCAATGCTCAACTTCAACAATGTCCTCAAGGCTGATTCGGCTGGGCCTCGAAGAAAGGGGATCGGTAGAGCCTCCGCATGTGAGAATTAACGACCATCAGCAAGAAAGCTTCCGATTCACTATTGCTTGATGCGATTTTCCTCCCAAGACCGTGAGTGAGTCGTGTTGGCTTTGGTGAAGTATCAAAGTACTACTAAGGCGTGACAAATGCCGAGCGCGTGATGAATATGGGACCTTAATTCGTCACTAAAGTCTTTCTGTCCCTTCTTGAAACAACCGACTTCCTGTGCTACCACGCGATGAGGGCAAGAGAACTGAAAAGCGCCTCGATCCTCTCTCTCTTCCGACCTTATAGCATCACAGAGCACCCTCTAGACTGTGGCGTTCTCTCATGTCTCACGGTGCCATGCCTGGAGCAATAAAACACGATGCTGGGCCTATAAATATGGGATTTAAGTGAATGGAATTCTGCTAGTACTGCCAGCCCCGCTTCTGTGATACCCTGTGCCTTAGTGAAAGCGTTAGTGGGTCTGTGAGGCTAAATTCTTTCGTAACCTGCATTTCTATGTTTACCTACCTTTGCCGTGCCTAATTATTTGTAGCTAGTTTAGCAAGGCAATTTTTGTCAATGGGTAGCGAATGAGCCCCAGTAAATATACGCGCGTAGCAACGGGGGAAAATGCTTCATAGGCTATATTGACTCAATTGACGTAGTCAAGTCTAGCGCATTGACTGGACGTATGAATGGAACCCCGCATCTCATGATTGTAGAAGTCATACCTACTTAGAAGAGCAGATATAAAAGGGCAGCAGATGGGTCAGTGGGATCCATTTTATGCTCTCTTTCCGCACCGATTCCATATATCCCATTGTATTCGAATCAAGTCGCCGCAATTTAGCACAATCTTCAGCATATGCAGCTTTAATGAACGAGTGCATGCCTGTGGTCACTACGACAGATCTCTGAGGGGCGACCCTTGCCACGAGGCTAAGAAAAAGAAAGAAATTTGCGTGTCAGGCTTGAAACACCATTCGTCAAGCACGGGCAAGCGATATTGTGGTTATACAGGGTGTGACAAAAAGGCGTCGCCGATGCGCGAGGGTCCAGGTACTTATTATCTAGAACGTACTTTCTGAATGCTTATCTAATTGTTACAGGCGGCAGACGAGATGGGGATTTCAACGAGTACGATATTGACTGGGAGCAGTACAACAACTAGTCCGAATGGGACAATGGTACGCGGTGTTTACCATTAGGGATATGGAGAAATGACAGTACGGTTGAATTGGTGCCTGTTAGTATCTTGGGAGTTTTCGGATAGCGTCGGATATGTCAAGTCGATCTTCAGGGCGTTCACACGTTAGTCCTTCGCCAATATTTCGGATGATTGTCCCGGAGACCCCATTATCTTCAATCGAAGCCAGTTCTATCAGCATCTTTCCAAATGCCCACCAGTCATTTTGACATCTCTGGTCGAATGGCAATTCAAAGGGTGAGGAATCGTTTCGGAATTCTGGTGCCAGATTTTCATACGTATATCCCACTCCAATGTCAATCAAAACTGCCCCGTCGGCTGCGTCGATAACAACATTCTGAGGTGTAATATCCATGTGGGTTAGAGACGAATCGTGCAACTGCCTCAAAGCACTTGCAAGCTGGTAAGGCCAAGTCTTCCAGGCTTTTCCTTTCCCATCTCGCTGATTGATTGCATTTTCGAGAGTCCCCTTAGGATAATACTCTTACACCATCCCAAGAATAACATCAACACCTTCGCTTGACGGTGATGTTTTGAACGGGCTTGGTGATTTCACCACAGCTACCAGCTGAACGATGTTCTGGCAACCCCGAAGTAGCAAGATATTGCGAAGCTCTTGTTGGAAAATAGTTGTGTGATTTTGTTCGTAGAAGGGATGTTCCACTGTCTTGTAGATAAATTCCTCATCTCTCCCGTTCCATGTGGCCGTGACCAAAAAGACATTGTTCGAGATCTGTTCCTTCTTTTCAATCTCGGAGACAGCCATTGTTTTTAATCCTGAGTCGATATTATAAATTGGATATTGTACTCGTGAGGCATCCTCTTGGATTGTGTAGACCCAATGGGTGTCACTTGGCTCGGTGTAGTCGGGTTGAGATAGTAGTTTCATTGGGAGCTTTGGAGAGCACGGCGGATAAGATGCTCTTTCGATCACGAGTTCACTGACCGTATCTGGGAGCAGAGGAACGGAACGAAAGTCGATAAGGCGGATTAGAGCGTCAAGCTTCTCCCTTCTCATACGGAGACCACATCTTTTTTCGATGCCAATTTTGGCCTTGAAAGTCACTTTCACATGCCACTTCAATCCGTCTGCGTGAAAAATGATGTTCTCGGATCGTTCACATGGCTCGGAATCGTCTGCTCGATATTCTTGGTCTTCTTTGTAGGTATTGGAGCGAATCTGAAGTTGCTCAGAGATAGACGAAGCCATGATGAGGGCCTTTCATTCAAGCTTAAAAAAAACGCATATGGGCAGTACAAGACGTGGGTTAGAAAAGACAGAAGTGCAAACTAGGGAGAGGGGAGGGCTATTTTCAATTGTGTTTATACGCGTGCTAGTTGAGTTTCCCCAGTAGACCATAAGCGCATTTCTTATATTCCAGAATCTACGCTAACCTGAACAAGCATAATGGTTAGGCTGATCTGAGACCTCATCACTTCCATTGGCAATTACGTACAGATGTGTTACGACGCTAGCCAGGTCGAGCAATTGAGGGAGGCTGAGCCAGGCAAAACGAGGGAACGTTGACGACCGATGAACCCCGCAGCAAGCAGATACCTGACCTGGAACAGGCCCTCACCGTCTACCCACATTCGGACGCCAAGCAGAAAGTTCCTATCCGCACCTGGACGAAATTATTCTGTGGCCGCTTCAAGGACTGGAATGTGTGAGGGTGTCAGGACGTGGTGGAGGGTCTTATTAAGTTTGCCCAGATCGCAGTATAAGAATTATGAGACCCATAGCTCCTGAGAAATAGCACCGTGGTTTCAAGCACTTACGTCTCCTGCGAATAGACATTTTGCTCTTATGTGGTATCGGATCCTGAGAATAGGACCAAGCTCAAAATCTGCCTAATTGAGGACTGAGGTTAATGCCTCAGCCATCTCCACAGTCCATCTCAAGACATATTTTTGATATCAATTTACCGGTTTCTTCCCTAGGCGTTGATTTTTATGCGACGGATGATAATAGACGAATGACGCTCTCGTACGTCGCACGGAATGATGATCCGGTGCTCGGAGACCATTTATTCGAGTCGAGACTGGCCGAGCCAACTTCCTTGGGTTTCATGGCTGTACGGCTGTTTAAAATGCCTCCCAGCATCTGGATAACGGGGTAGTACCTCGATCACTTATGACTACGCGGATGAACCCTAGCTCTCGAAGCCTTGCAATCGCGCACCCTTCATGTACGCTCTGGAGTACATCTATTCGAGGACCTTAAAGACCTTCATATCTTCATGTCCACGCAGTACGTTACTCATATCATGATGGTTCTACGGATTTATGTGGCATATAGCATTATTTTTAACATATATTACAGTACGGTCAGTGCTCGAGCTTAGCGCTCTGATCTTTCGTCAGCCCCACACTGCAATATTCTTTTTATATCATCATGGATAGTATCAGGACACTGTTGTTACGTAGTGCCAACCAATTACTGTGAGTCAAAACGTCCACATATTTTACTTCCTCATTCCTTCTGCGAGCCTCAAGAGTCTCTCTCAATCGTACCGTCGCTTCGCAGAGTCTTACTGCGGGTTTGACTCTGTTCAAATTTTTGCAGGACGTGCTAGAGGTGCTCACCAAGAGTTAATCACGAAGTTGTATCACCAAGCAAATCTCCTAGCTATAGGTTAGGTTGTCTGAAAGTTGGGCCGTTAAGTGTAAACTGCTCATAGAATTAACCCCTCAACAATATGAAATTCCTCCGATCTATACACACATGCTACTAAAAACGTTGTTACTCCTTTAACATCGTCACCGCTCATGGGTCATGAATTAAACGTACGAGCAACAAGCAAGGGAGATTAGAATCAAATGTGCACGTCCAAGAAGTCTAGAGATATTGAGAAAGTGTGGGCAGTGATTTCATATGCGCTTTTCAATAGATTGAGAGAACCAAGTCATCCTCAGAGTACACTGCTCGGGCTATGATCAGTTCATATGCCTAGTGAAGAGGGGAATGCTCAAGGCAGTCTGATCTCACCAGACAGGTCGAGTCATAGAGGAACCAAACCAAAACCATAAGCAAGCAAGTCCCGGAATCCTCCAATGTAATCGTGCAGTCCGATATCAAGAACCAAGGGCAGGAATCAAAAAGAGTGTGACATTGCAAGTGTAAGGAATCTGACTGTAAAGACCGCCCTGAATCCTCTCTTCAAACTGTTGATCAAGAACTTCGATGATGATCCTAAGAATCCCGTAGCCTAGGTCTTAGATAACCTCCCTGGGCGATAAGGCTATTAGGCATCTCTCACTACTAAACATCCACCCTTAAGTACATGCAACCGAATCCCCTACTACACTAGGTATGATCCGGTCACATCACGTTACATGCTCTCATCGTAGCCGAGAATACACGAGTCACGTGGCACAATCATCGTGCCTGGTAACGTTGACCTATCTCAAGCCCTGCCGACTGACCAAGTTGACTGATGAAATACGTCGCTTTTCACCGCAGTAGCCTTTGATACATGAGAGGTCTGTAACATACGCGTGAGAAGTAAGCCAAATTTGATAGAAGGATACTCGATCACGATTACGCTTGATCAATTCGCACACGACCAACTTCATCAGACTTGACGACTAGTAGCTTCATTCCGCTAGGTTGCAGAAGCATTAAAGTTCATTGCTACAGATACCTCGTGAATGGTCTATTAATAATCTTGCTAGCTGGTTAGCCTCCGGCTACTGACGGTAACTCGTAATTTGAGTGCACCAAAGCTTTTCTACACCGAAGTCCACTCCTCCAGATCATGCGAACGAAATTTCTACTCACTGGTGATTCTCGCATGACATACAAGAAACAGGAAGATACAAAACCAAGATCTCTATATACCCCGAACATCTTTTTGAGTACTCTCGTTTCTTTTACAGAGACTGTAGATACAAAGAAGTGGCTAAGTGTCTTTAAAATTCTACGTTAACATTATCACAGTGCAGACTATACATTGTGTTGTTATGCAGATCTTGACCAAATCCTTCCCGTCCGGTGCAAGAAAGAAACCCAAGGGCTCTTTCTAGAGATATAGGGTAAGCTCGGTAGGCGGATGTGTGAGAACCAACTAGGTCCCGACCAGACTATAGTATATCCGACGAGATATTCTCTTAAAATTGCACCCTATGATTTATTGAGGTATCAACAATCATTTCAGCCAAGTTCAAAAATTGCACCCACGTTTCAGCCGCTCGTGAATTATTTCCGTAGCATTAGTTCGAAATCATGGAATGATTTGAACCGCCCGAGGCCGTATGATGTTGTCCACCGATTAGAGGTGCCTTTTCAGAATCAGTGTTAAAATATCATAGCTATCCGTCTACACTATATACCCAAAGGGAGCGATTAAAATTTTATCCAAATTGATTCTGCTTGAACTGAGCAAGTCCCCGGAGTTTAGATATTTTGCGCTGCGAACCTTCGGGATTGCTGCATATGCGCCCTTCCCTTTTGTGTCATGTAATACAGGTCGATATTGTCGACTTACATACAAACATATCAAATATCGACCACGATCGGTATTTTATCAGCTTCCATCAGTCTGGTCGTCTCTGCTTCTCGTGCCTTCACGGCTTCTTTTGTTAATCTGACAACCTCACGTCCAATCTTTTGTTCTGTGGTAAACAGTGTATGATGTATTTTTAAATTGACAGTAAGTGGCGACAGAATCAATCCTTTATCCATAGTTCCAAAGTCGGCGTTGGCAGAGCCAGAGTTTGAATGCTCTTTTGGACTGTTTTCGAGTGTTGCTTCCTCCGGCAGTGAAGCTTGATCGCCACTGACTCGGCAAATTGGTCTTGGATAGCTGGCACTGTACGTCTGACACAAGCTGCTCTTGACCACATTCCTGTTAAAGCTGCGAGTACAAGGGTTTTCTTAGCCCGCCGGTCGCTCAATCATCCAAGCATAAATCTCAAGGCCAGAGGGAAAGAGCCATTTCCTCTGAGACAAGATTTCCGCGGACCTTCACAACATTCCATCCTAGGCGTTCCAAGATCTCTTCGATCAGCCTGTCTGGGGGGCCACTGCAGTATCGAGCAATGATGGTGTTTAGAGAAGCAATCTTTCGAAACTCGGAGTCGATTTTCTTCAAAATTTGATGAACACGACGTGAACTGTGTTGATCGTCTTTGATCAGGTACCGACAGCTCTCGCCATAAATAGAAAATTCCAGTGTTCTTAGCCCGGTGCACTCATTGCGAAGAAGCTCCAAATTCCGTAATACGTCTTGTCTGAGACGGATTTCTCCCCCTGGTCATCTGCTAGTTCCGTGGTGGGAAAAGAGATACGCAATGTGGACAGAAAACCTGCATTGACAGATCCAATGCGTCTTATGAACAATCCCAGAACGTTGCTCCGGTGGTTCCTCGTTTCCACTTCCTCGAGAATGAAGCGATTCGCACCGTACAAGATTGACCTAGCATCATGGGATAATTGCTGACAGGTATACAATAGTGCCAGCCATGCACCAGGCTTACGGGGCATGAAACATTCCAGTGGACCTCCCGAATCCTGGAAAAAGTAGGGGGAGTCCGGCACAGCGAGCACCAGTCTGATGATCCGGTGGCGAATCTCAACTGGCAAGACGAGAAGACCAGCAGCAGTCGATTTGGGTGATAATGAAGGAAGTTTTTCTAATTCCAAACCGGACATGGTGGGTAGATGATTCCGGTTGGAAAAGTTGAGAGCTAGTGTCGTGTCCACAGTTCTCGAGGAGCGTTTTCTAGAGGGTGAAGAAATGATTATAGCCTAGTCAACGTTGTTCATTAGTGTGAAATGAGATGAAGAATGAAGTATACGAAGGTGTGCTAAATGATCACAGTACCTGTCCTGAATTCAAACAGCACTAAGGGGAAGGCAGTTGGATTACGTAGAACACTAGGAGGATGAGGTCAAGGACACGTGATTACGCTCTAGAGTTTCAGAGGATGACGAACGACTTTCCCCGCAACACACGATAGGCCTCGCATGGGCAAAAGTCACGTGCAGTTATGCTCAGCTTCCAGGCGGCCCGGTGAATCGAACACTAACTGTCCCATCACCCGAGCAGTTGATAAAGGGTGCAAAAGAAATTTTACTGATTAAAAAGGAATGAAAGATCAAAATTATCAAGCAAAAACATTCGATCTATTTCACAAATTAAGGATCTCATCACTTATCCGTCTCGTCTCACACTTGCCAAAATCAAATTATTGGTGTATCCTCGACTAGTATGCCCCAGCTGGTTCAGAACCACCGAGGTCACCAACTAGCCACTATCGCCCTCCATAAACAGATCACTGTCATCCCCAAGGTCTACGGAGTCGTTCTGCTTCTCACGCCATTCCACTAGCGCTAAAATGTGACATGACATGGGGCGGAATTTCTCCATTTAGGGGACTGGGGGTTGAACCACCCGGTACTGTGCATGTGAACAAAGAAATCCCTGTTCTCGTCGCCTGCTCAAGTTCTTTGCATATGCTCATTTGCCTCCTCGAGAGACCCCACATGGTGAAAACCAAATTCAAAGTGAACAAGACGGAGGAAAGTATTTGTTGCCGCGATAAGGAAAATACTGCCCGTATACTCCCTATCAACACCCGATAAACACCAACAACTTGGCAGCAATTGCAAAAAGTTGTATTACTCTTGCCCTAGGGGATCCGGGTTTGCTCTCCGTGGTATAGCCGCTTCTCCAAGATACTGAGCTAGTGTTTTATTTGGGAACGACTAGTTTGCAGTCTCCTGTCCGGTCATCAACATGGATGTATTTCACGCACGCCTGGCCTCGAGAATGGCTAAGTACGGATGTCCCATCATCCATCCGTGGGCCTGCCAGTCTATTCTGCGAATGCCACTATCATCTTCCGGAATGACTTCGTGCATTTCGGTGAAACGGGTGGTGGCTTTTCTGCGCTCGACGCGTGGCCGCACCTCTTTGTGCCCTTCGTGGTTCTGGAGGAGACAGAGGTTAGAGCAAATTGTAGGAAATATAAGACGAAGTACACAGTCACCTCTTCAAATTTACTCCGCCGAGCATCATACTTATTCTTATCTATCATGGCGTTATTAAGATCGACTTCGAATTCAGAGAAAGATGGAGCGGTTGGAATGAAAGACCCTACGTGGGGTCAACATAACCTTCTTTGTACGTAGGTCGTCTCTCGCGCTCGGGATACATAACATCACCCTGCAGGTAAAACGCTGACCAGTCAGAGCTCTCATTACCCGGCCCCGACCATGATGACAGAACGTGATTTGCTGAAAAGCAGAGAGGAGACTGTTTCCAGAGACTCACGATAAGCATTCCACATCACAGATTCTATATACTCAAGTATGCGGGTATACTGCGGTCCAACTTATGGTTACTTAATTTGTTTGATGAAGGGTCATTGCTATTCAATATCATACAGTACTTTGGATGCCACCAATATGAGATATTTCACAATAGGTCACGATACCACCAGAAGCTGGAGTAGACCATAGAACAGCTTGTACTGTAACTTAGCTTGACTTGACAAGAGTATAATGAGTACGCAAAGTAGATAAAGAACCTGCTGAAAATCCAATAAATAATTCCATGGTCACAAAGAAGCTTCTTTGCATTACAGGTATGCTATAATGAGTTTCTGGTCAATACTAGGCGCATTTCAGGACTGGCAATAACTGTATTATATATTATTCAGGTAGGGTCTTGGGAAAGATATACAGTCCGTCGGCTAATAAGCTCTTTAGAGAGAGGGCATATTCCTCGGAGACACAATATCGTAGGTAGTGCCCGGGGAATTTCCATGGTAGCATATGAGGTGCTAGCAAGACTGGGTGGAACCTTCTTCCACACGGAGCCCCCTTCCACACGCAGCCCCCGAAGACTCCGTATAGAAGAAGACCCCGTATGGAAGAAGACTCCGTATGGAGGAGGGCTCCAGTGGACTGCCATTTTTTGCCAGTATGGAACAGGAGACACGGGTGGATGTACAATATGTATGGGATTTTGATTGTGAACGGGTAAAAGTCTTGATTGGCCTATTTCTACTCCTAGATCCACATTGGAGTGCCATAACTAACTTATCTCGCTTTCAATGATCTGCGCTAAAATACAGTGGCGCCGCAAAAGTCTGTGACCCGCTACCTGACCGCCCCTTTCTGCCACACATTCTGCCGCTCGAAAACCTACAATATACGCTGCGTATATAATGAAATTGTATCAGACTAATGCATGGTCAAGCAGCCCTTGTGCGAGGCATATGAGTCTGGTTGACGATAAAAATATCGTATACAACGCTATATGGGACTCCGCTGTACGCATGCAAGTGGTTTAATGGGCTATAATAGGAAGGCGGTGCTACTAGCGTTCGACGTGCTGTAGTCCTTGTCTTTCACTTTTCAATGCTCCGTAAAGGCCTCCAATAAACTATATATCTAGTTCTCGGCGGCATACCGCGGCTGTGTCCGACCGGCCTAATCCGCAAGCATAATGAAGCTATTTGTAGCGAGAAACTGCTTGACGATGGCATCGTACCCGTTCATGACAGCTCAAGACAGCAGCCTGCGACCAAACTCGTTTGTTCTTATTGAATACTGAACGGAGTAGGCGAGGCTAACCGACAAGGCAAGCTTATAGAAAAGACTGTTACAGTAGCTTTGCGGGGCCAGGCGCGGGGTTTGGAGTCCACAATGAATTCAAAAACAAGAGAGATGTGGGTGGTCCTCGACTATTAGGAAATGCACGTGATGCAGATCAATACGACAAAGAAATGGGGGCTAGAACCTCATCTAGATGTGAGTCACCGTTTAAAAACAATCCTCTGTCCTTCTCATCCTTCAACGTTTTCCACCGCTTCCTTGCTAGGTCCTTTTTGCGCACTCAGTAAAAATCAACGAATGTGCTGGCTTCAACAAGCCGTTGAGTAGGTATTCATTTTGTGGTGTTATGTTTTAGGCTATGGCTGATGTTTTCTTCTACCGGCTCCGTTCATCTTAAATTCTGTTGATTTTTTGGAGTTCCAAGGCCATCTCGTGCGAGAATTACCTTGTTTTTCCGAAATTTGCACGACTAGGTCCCCTCAACTGTTGATTTCGTTCCTCTTCCCGCTAAACAGGCCACTGGCCAACCACAGTCAATTTAACCCTGCCTGCAATCCCAACGTTCTTTCAAGCCACCAACGCGAAGATGCGATGTAATATTGAAAACCGTGAACTGAGCGCCATCGCTCCAGGCGAGGGGGGCCTAGTTGTACCGATACAAGTCGCTGTAGGCAGGAGACGACTAGAAGGTTCTATGTAAACTAAACAAACCAGCGACCGTTAACAATCCAGCAACTTTCCTCTCCCATCCCTCAGCTGCCTCACTGCAGAGGGTTTGATGCTGCCTTTAGTGTCCATCTCTGGTCAAGTTGGTAGGCAAGGCTTGACAGTAAGATTTGTTTTGTTTCGTGATTACTCTTGCTTATCGCTATGTGGCGAATTGCGATGTTCATTGGGCATCAGGCACTCCTGGCTAACCTTTCCCGGAGAACAGCTCCAGGCTACCCTTCCTTTGGACATATTCTCGATGACCCAAGCCCTTTTGATGACGATCCGGATCAACCTTGGATAATCGGACCTATGGGAAGAAATAGTTGTATTTCTTACGCCAAGGTCTGATTTGCTACACACTGCGTAAAAAGGGAGAAGTCTTTTGCGTCGAGGCGTCTCATTGAATCTGGCTTGGGCCACAATTATTGAGATTACGATTGTTGGCATATCAGCTGATTGAATTTATCTGCGTTACCTCAACTATAGAATGTGCCATCTAAATCTACAGCAAGGAAGCATTGCCTAGAACCTTCCGGACTCGTATATATTTTATAACATACTTAGCTCTTGGTTTAACACCTTTTCAATGTCCCGCAATCGTTCCCCTGATGAGTATTTCCTCCGTACCTGAATTGCCCATTTCAAGTCCCTTGCCAGACCCTTTCATGTCACAATTTGCTCTTCGAATGTTGGAAGGCTCTCTCATCTTATGTAAGAACCTTCGTTTGTGTATTTGGCTCGATGTTTGACGGGAAGTCCCATGAGTTGGTGGTGAGATTATAGAGAGGGTCAGCTGGAGGGGACCGTTTGTTAAGAGAAATATCTTTTCCACTTAGTTGCTTGGCTTCGACATCCGGGCGTTGTTTCACACATTGAAGAGAAGACGCAGAAATGTGAGGGCTTTTAAGGTCAATACGTGGTGAGATGGCCAGCGATATATTTTTAGGCATATGCCACACCTTGGCTGCCACTGGCTTGTGTTTGACTTCGGTGCGAGTCGTTTTGACCTCCTGCGCGAACTCGGACTTGGTCAATAAGTCGCTTTCGAAGTCCTTCACCGATATCTCTTTGAAGTCGTTACTTTGCGATTGTTCCGTTTGCTCCACTTTAACGACATATTCCGCTTCAGACACTTTGGGAGGCTTGGCTCTAGGAAGGAGCCTGGTGATTTCCTTGCCAGTTTCTGGTACCGGTAATTGGCCAACACCTTTCTCGGCAGCGATCGTTTTGTTGATCACAATCTCCCTAAAACGACTCAATAGCTTTTGAGCAGTGACCTCCTTCGTCTCGCGATATATTCCCTCTATCACGTCTTTCCACTGGTCCTTCAAGTGGCCTTGGAGATCATAAGGCTTGGCTGATTGTACAAATCCAGCCCAGTCCCTTACAGTCCGCTAAGCAAGTTCTTTGCTAGCCTCAAACCACTCTTTATGGCTCTTCCCGCACCACGGGGCTTTGTACCTTCGCTCTCGGCGCCATTCCTTGATTAGTTCATAATGTGTAAGGGTCTCGACACGATGAGCGTGAGGAATATCATTCAGGCTGAATAATAAGTTTGGCTCATAACCGCAGTTTGACCAGTCTACTAGTCGATCCGAAACTGTCTTTGCTGTCCAGCCAATCTTTACATGGCCAGGGGAAGATTCGCGATCAAAAATATAAAGTGATCCTGTCTCAAAATCTCGCTTTTTGAGAGGTGTGAGCATCTTTTGATACACTGAATCGCCGGGAGAAGGCTCTGCAATGTGACGACGAAACTCGGATAAAGCAGGCTGAGTGACTGCAAAGGGCTGGCGGTGGGCGAGATTTTCAGAGCTGTTTATACGGCGGGTCCGAAGGTTGTAACCTTTTTGGTCTTCAAGTCCGTTGGATATGAGGCCGAAAGTGCTTGAGGAGGTTGGTAGATGACAGGTGTATTCATCTGACGCCTTGAATACGGACAGTTTCCCAGTAGCATCAGAAGCAGCTGCGGCGGGGGCTCGGTCGCGAGCGAGCCTATGGTAACTATTAACCGTGGGCTCCAAAGAAGAATAATTGATGTTTGTCACTCACCTGACAGATTTTGCTTTATTTAATGACAAGACCGGTTGTGCTCGAATCTCGTTGAGCCATCTCTGGGCCAGTGGTGTCAAAAGTTGCAAATCTTCTATCTTGTCACGATGCTGAGCACGTTCCCATAAAAAGCAATTGCATTGGGCGTACTCGCTTAGTATTTTGATCTTAATATCTTCAACTGGCGTCGCCTTGAGTAAATGCTGAAGTTCGACTGCGCGTTGATTGTCTTGATCCCGGCAATTGCTTTTGCACCTTGCGCCTTTCTGTGTGAAGAAAATGCATTGCTTCTGAGTCGATGGGTCAAGGTCATTGAATGATATAAAAAAAGATATATCAGGATTGAAGACCATGGTGAAGGAAACTGGGCTGGTCAGTCTTTCAAATGTTGCTCGTTTCGCAGAGTCGAATAAGAAGAGGTGCGGAGCAGCTCACCTGAATGTGAATGAGGGGTAGGTCACATGGGCGTTTCTTGTGAGTTACAATACCAAAAGTAACAGGAATGTTCTGGTAATTTTTTTTCGAATTCTTCCTAGAAATCTTCCTAGAAACTTTGCATGGCTTTGAAGCAGTAGGACCTTCCCCATGGATGGTAAACATCATCGTTATTTATTTGGGATACATGAAGATGCGGTATGTTACGATGGATATAGACAGTGAAATAGCCATCCCAATGTAAATTTATTGGTTCGCCGTGGGAAAAAGTCAGGAAAATGCATGATTGGAATTGGAGTAGTCACCGATTGTAAGAAGAAGGTACTACAGGCTGTCTAGCGAGAGGCCACGATAACTTCCAGGATGATAGGGAGAAGAAGTTGACGAGGCTCCTACCCAAGGGCCCGTGGGTAGTGTGCTATGAGCAAGGTCCGTTGCCTGCTGTACAAGTGTCAGGTTTACAGAGTAAGTGCAGGTCAGCTCTCTGTCTTAATGGCCAATAAGAGTCTGCAGTATGTGAAGGCTGTGGTACGAAATAGGCAGGTGCCAAGAGGGAAGGACTTGTCAGGAACCCGTCATGTGCACGGTTCATCTGTGCCCCTCCTCACCTGTGAGTTGCAACCGGAACATCATTTATTTTTTTGGCATCATTGACCCTTCACCATACAGGTTTCAACCACTCTCGCAATTCAAGAATGACCGGAGGACCTGAAGCAAACCGTACGCACTTTGCAACCAAGTAGGTGGCTGAATGTCTCTGATAAGGACTCATCTCACATCTGAATGCTTCATTCTCTAGTATCCTTCCCCTCTATCACGGGCCGCTTGTCAACATTCGAATCGAGCCTAGCAATTTAGAATATGCTATTTCCAAGGGCCTTCTCTCCGCGAAATCACCAGTTTTCTCAAAGATGTTTGAAGGCAACTTTCTAGAATCCCAGCAGCAGACAGCGATTCTAAAAGAAGAGGAATCCATTGTGTCAGTACGGAGCCTTGCAGCACTTTTTCAATGGCTTTATCTCCGCGTTATCAAATTTGATATAGAAGATGCTGAGGAGCATATGTCGGCTGCCATGGAGCTGGTGAGGCTTGGAGACAAGTACGATATTGTCGGATTGGACCATGAAATGGCCCAATATATTAAGGGCGTACTCCTTGCCAATCCTCATCCAACGACCAACCAATTTCACCGCCATATTGACAACAATACCTACTGCATTACACGTGATCATATTTTCTCAGCAACTCGCTTGCCTCGAGATCATCCAGTGCGATGTATTTTGGCTGCTGCGTCAGTCGAAGGGTACCTTCGGAGCGAAACGCACAAGTTTGCTGAGGAAACCCAGCACAATCCTATTTTCGGTGCTGATGTACTCCGAGAGGTGAGGTTGGCACTGAACGGGATCAAACCTGTTCGAGGCGCGACCTTTGAAGATCCGATTACTGGAGTAAGATCAGAGCTGGACTCAGTCGGACTATTTTGGGATTAATTGTGCTGTCGTAAAGCAAGCCATGATCGTCGAAACATTTGATTTTTGTTGGTCTAATCTTCTATTTATCGAACGCTGAGAGAGCGACCTTGAGCTTATTGTGTTCGATTGTGGGCACAAGTACGGATTCGGGTCTCGCATCCTTGGGCTAGGAATCTCAGCCACAGCTGTATGGGCTGGCGGGCGATGTAGGCAGGGCCATATAACTGTCTCGGGAGTGAATCCGTTAATCCATCGCGGTTCGAATGGGAACTCCAGGTCAGAGGGTGTGAAAGAGCGACCCCATGGTGAGTGGGATAGTTATTTTTGGATATGGATCAGGGGTTATTTTTGGACATGGACATGTAGCAGTACATGACTGTGCAGTTTTATACTTTCATGCTTGTTACCGTGTAAAACTGGAACAAGTCTTTAATTACGGACCTTTTCATATACGGTTTAGCGCATCATGTGATTAGGGTTCGAAAGAGCACCTCTGTGTTACCGGATATGGAAGGCAAAAACCGTCGGCACTGTAAATCTCCTTTCAACGGATACTGACCTTTCTCCGACGCAAAGTCACCCCGCCCTGTTTGAAGGAGGGATCAGTACGGAGGACAACGTTCATGAAGGACCCTAGAGCGTATCCACTGCTCATAGAAGGATACATGCTAATAAGCGCAAATAGGAAGCATGTACTACCTAAGTGGCACTTGTGGAGGATTTGATTCGGGAACACAGACCCACCAGGCCAATAGATATATTTTCCGATTTCAAGTAACTATGAGCGCGTATTATTCTAAGGGAAATAGCTCAATAAGACCCAAACCGCTCGGCAATAACGAGGAACAAGGTTATCAACATTAGTTTTCCGAGTATACTGCTGCTCAATGTACACTTCCTGCTTGTCGAACCTTGCGAAAACTCTTATCCAATTTTGCAGCTCACCCCGAGTGCTTTTAGCTCACTTGGCTAATAGCAACATGCGATTTAGGCAACGTTTTTGATCATGTTCATGTAAGTCAGCAAGCGACAAGTGCAAAGCGGATCTCTGAACCCACTCTTCGTTCATTGAGAGCTTAAGACTCCAGTCGGAGATCGTGCTCCTCAATCATGATATGCCCTTGGAGTATAGTGTCTTGGTCAGGAAGTTGATCTCCTTCGAGATTCTCTGCTCGAAAGGTCGAGACACCAAGCATGCCATGATACAATGAGCTTAGCGGGACGAAATGAAAACCTTAGGACTGCAAGAATTGTCTTGCTGCAAGAGAAATACCTCTTTAATTATCGGGGATCTTAAAAAGCTTTCTATATAGAACATTTGATGTATAGGGATATCCCTAGCACACTGACCCTGATTAGTTCGTTACCTCTAGTCGACTGACCACCATTTAACTGAAGTTCACGTTACGATACCATGCCCCTCAAGGGGCCCCGTCACGGTCGGGTAACCGAACAAGAATCACTAGCATGTCGCCGAAAGAGCGTGAGTTCCGTGGGCTTTCCATCGCAAAAACTGCAAGCAATATAATGGCGTCATGCAATGTTCTGTAGATACTTTCGCCTGGTTGAAATGCTTTATATAGCTCTTTACGGTAAAATTGGTGTGGGCGTTTAAGAGAGCAAGCTGTGGGTAAAACCTGTCCAGATTTTTGGGTTCTGCCTTGAGATACCGACCTGGAAGTTCCCATGTATGGGAAAGCCAGTGTTCATTATCGGAATTTCTCACCACCCTACCTCCTAGCGCCTCTGGCAGTTCCTCCGACTTCTAAAATCGAGGAGGACAATGATGAGCCTCCGTACTCCTACAACACGACGCCACCTCTGCCACCTCTGACTCCAATGAGTGATACCCCCTTTTAGGCGTCCTTTGTAGTCATCCAAATTATCTTTGTGTGTCTTTACTAATCAATGGCCTCACTACCAGGGGCCTGCCTACTTTAGGACGCTGTATGAAATCACTTACCTACTGTCCTTCCTGAATCCTGGCTGTGATATACTCTTTACAATTTCAGAGAGCTGCCACTACTTCAGTCCTGTACACCAGAGGTTACAATGGGGACATTGAGAGTTTCTGAAAATGAAGGTGTCTGGCCTCTCACGAGCACTTCTATGTGGCTTACCAAGGACATTCCCGCAATAGTGCTGAATCACCAACCGCCATCACATCTTTTTTAAGTCTCCCTTGTAACATTCTTTCATAGAGAAATCTGAGATAGAAAGGGCACACGAATAATCAAGCAGAATCAAGTTAGTAATAGTGTATCTTACAACCTGACAGCAAGACCAAAGTCGGCCCCCTGAGATTGATATCGTTTTGTCTTTCCCTGATGTCGTTTTCAGAGCTTCGCCCTCTCTCTGTCTTTTTTCATATGCTTGTTCCCTGCCTCCCCCTTGCTTATTTCCGTCGCTCTCCATAAAATGATAATTACTGCTTAGTGCAACTATTCTGTTCCCCATGCAAACACATCAGGGGCTCAGCAGTCGTGCCTCGGGATTTTCGGAGGTATCCGAGCAAAACTTCTTATCTTTGTATCAGACAAAGTCCGGATAGAGAGGAAAAATGTCAGGACCAACCTTAGAGTTTCAACCACCACCTCTCCGCGCAAGCGACTGGGACTTCCGAAAATACCAAGATCCATTGAGAAATCCTGGCGATTACCTTTTTCGAGATGAAACCCATCGCTTCGGTTACTCCCACGCACCAGTGGACTGCGCGGCCAGTTCAACTACAATTATCTTGCAAAAATCAGAGGTGTTTCAGAGTCGCTTTTATGATTTTTAGATGCCTCGGGAAGTAAATTTGACTTGGCCGCTAGATACAACATATCATTCATGGGAGTAAATCATGTGTAAAGATAGATACACGCCACCTTGCGAAAATGGCCCAGAGCGTCTACCTCTATCTTTGGACCATGTTGTCAGTTGATGTTATATAAATGGTGTCTTTACCGTCTCAGTACTTATTTCCCTCTCACAGTTGTTATATAGAACATTCAAGCAAATGAATCTTGTAGCGAGATTCCAAAGCCATCTGGTGAAGTGCCCAACCAAAACGACGGCTACAGAAATTATGGCCTTGCATTTAGTGAGGGAGGGGGAACTGGGATTTTTCCTCCCTAAGGGCCCACACTGCTCAAGTACCAGAGGGAATACTGCGTCTATGACTGAAAAGATAATCTTCATCCGTTGTCAGACTTCAATAGGCTAGAACAATTCCTTCGTGTAATGCTTCTGGGGTAACCAGATACCGAGCCCCTATTTTATGGTCTGGAGATAGCCGAGAGACTCCCAAAATGCTTTCCTTATAGTTTCTTCGAGCTATGGGTAAAAGTATATGTTAAAAATTTTTAAACATACCAGATCGACTTGTAGGTGTTGGGTTGGTTAGCCGATGGCTTCCACAGGAGCGGTAGATTTATCTCTTTTCATACAATAATAATAGTGATCCATGACTGACCACAGGAAGCCGCTGTGTCAAGTGCCATGTGGGCGGAATAGAGCCAGGGTAGACACAAATCGAGCAAAGTGAAGGTGAATCCTCAGATTTGACTTACTATCCGCTAGTGTATTATTCCAGTGATTCGGGATGGACCTGTGGTTCCCCCCTCTTCCGAAAGGACTAGCACATTAAAGAACGGACATGAGCTCGTTGAGTATCATTTTCCCATTGGTAAACATGCGCACTTTCTCAGCAAGGGCTTCTCGCTCTGTCTTGGTGGAATCAGGCTCCGCAGCAAGAGCGAGAGCCTCGGTATCCAATAGCTGAGATACCTTGACAGGCGAGAATATGTGCTCAAGTCCTCGAATAATGTGACGCTCAATCACTTGAACCGCAATGTTTGCAACAAAAACCTTCTCACAGACCTGTTTGAAAGTAAGTAACTGATACATACAATTGAAAGTAGGGAGTTCGTACCTTATAAATTGCCTGAAGGCAGTCGAGCACCAGCTCTGCGCTGTGTTTGTCCATATCTGGATCCATTTTTTCGGAGTAGATCTTCATCGCTAGGTTCACATTCACGCTTGGGTACGTGTGGTCCGAACTACACCCTGGAACGTTCATATGATGCGTTGCATCCTCCAAACAACTTTCCAACTCGACCTTCCGTCTCTCAATCTGGCGTTTTTTGATCGTGTCGGTATAATAGTGGTTGTAGTTAATTGGGTAAGAGCTCATCTCCTCTAGGATTTTCTCCATCTCTTCTATCGCAAGTGTGCGCCTGGTAGTCATCTGGTCGTGAATCGTTGGCCACAAGCGAATGTGAATGTCGCGGGGGCATTGGATGCTCAACAGACACTCGAGAAAGGAGCAACAAAGTCCTGTAATTTGCACGATATGTGCAAATGCAAAGAGATGCCACTTAGACGATTGCTCCCAGAACAGTTCAGCAATCACGAGAGGGTTGAAATTCCCCGGAAGCTCCTTTCCTCGCGCTTTAGCAACAGCGTCGTTTACCCATCGTATAGCTTCATCGTGACTAACTCTCGTAGGAGGCTGGATGTGGCCGAATGCTCCAAGTTTCTCAGCCGGTCTTGGTGTTTCGCTTGATGTTTCGCCAACGTATTGCTCATTTTCGTGGGCAGTTTGGTGCTCGATCCGGTCAAATCGACTATCATTTACCCCTGAGCTGACAATGTGAAATTTGTGGCCATTGGTGCGAATCTCATTGGAGAAAGCCATATTTCTCGATTGGACGATTGCTCTCAAGCGCCTGGTAGATTCCGGGCTGTTGGTTGGAATAGATTGTTGTTCATCACATTTAAAATATTCCCCTTCGTAATAGCCGCTTATTGCCGCCTTGCAGATTTCGTGAAAATTGAGACTGAGTTGCGTCAGAAAATTTCGGCATTCCCCAGCAGTAGTTCGCGCACTTCCTAATACGGCCATCTCGCTTTTTGCTCGCGACAATGCGCCCTCCAAGTCTGTTTGTAACCTAGGCAGCTCTTGGCGGCAATGATCAAACGCAAGTCTGCTTAGACGAACCGCCAGAGCGAGGATGCCCACCCGATCAGATCCCAGCTGCGAAAAGATGGACTCGCGGAAATACTGTTCCTCAGACGCATTCCGCTCGAGAATAGAACAAGCCATCTCCTCAAAGCTTCTGTTCTTGAGCACATGCCAACCAAGGTCAAACATAATATCCCTATTATTTGCCAAGTTCAAAAAGCTTAGCTCGGTCTCCGAGCCTGGAGGAAGCCGATCGGGCTTGGTGATAATCCCCAAGGTGCGCTCGCCCTTTGGGTCATATTGACGAACCAGATTCAGAATCGGCTGATTGGCGTAGTCGTTCGCTGCAGAGATTACAGCCAGGCATATTGTCCGAGGCGACGAAATGTAGGATTTTGTAATTTCCACACTCAGCTGAACGTCCGCCTGGGTTGCATCTCTAGTCTCTGCCTGGATGATACCAGGAAGATCCACCACCGTGAGCTGCGGCCTGGCTGGCCCCTCTATTTCCAGAACAAGAACGTCCATGGCGAATGCCCGTCGAGCCCCATTGAGATCTTGACTTTCCTCCAGTCCCATCGTGCTCATTGCTTTGGACATGATCTCTGGCAAGTTTTGCAGATCAAGGATAGTCTCAGAAAAGTTGTCCATAGCGGCTCGCTCCTCTGCCGAGCGTCGGCGGTCAGGTATGATACTGATCTTCAGAGACTCTGTCGTTCCACGGCGAAGGATGATTTCAGTGGGAAACCTTGTGCAAAGGTTGTCTTTCCGGGGGAACGGTATCTCCGTCAATGCTTCCAGAACTGAGCTTTTCCCTGCTGATTGATCGCCACAAACAACTAGTTGTGGAAGCGAAAGAACGCTGTCAAGCCCACACCTACGTAACTCAGAGACCGTGTCAAGAACCTGCCGTTGTTCCGTACTCTGTAGCGCCTCCAGAGCAGCCGCGTTAGGCATGCTAAAACCGCCCATAGCTACCGGATATTTTAGCAAAGAGCCACAGAATTCACTCACGGGCACACTTACTCCCTCTGACTATGCTAGAGACATTCGAGACATGGACTTTGGCAGCACTCATCCTCGCTATGCTATTGAGGTATTCGATATCTCTTCAAGCTTTCGACACCGGACCTTGAAGAGTGTGTGCTATAAAGATGAAAAGAAAGGCAGCGCTCCCTGGAATTATTTATAGTAAGTTGCTCCTTCATTCTCAGCAAAAGCGAAAATATGTTATTATCGGAATTAATCCCTTCAGTGAAATTCAACATTCTCATTAATCAAATCCTCTCTCTATCATTCAGCTGGCAAAGATATAATACGGACATAATAAATTCCCGCGCCCTTGCAGCTCGAATACGATACGATCAGATGATGCTGGATCTCTGTTTCGGGAGTCATTACTGGTCATTGAGGGCGCTTACTATCAATAGGGGAGAAAGCCATACTGATAAGTGATGGCGTGGCGGACTTTCAGAGGAGTAAGCGATCAATATTCAGTTGCTTGTATAGTACCAGATATGGAACTTATTCAGGAGAAGCAGAAATACGTCAAAAGAATGCCGCTCAACGAAATGGTCAATCATCTGTCATTTTGATTATTTCTTTGATCTTTTTTGGTATGTCGGGCTTGATTCATTATAGTTCGTCTCGAAAAAAACTGATTCCTCGAAGCCTGTATATGCTATGCTAGCAAAAACTCTGTATAAATAAAATTAGTTTTTCATTTGAAAGTGTATCTGACTTATTTGACGGAACCTTGCTGATCCTGGTCTTACACAGATAAGGCACAAAGATGCAATAAAAGAAAAGCGCTAAGGGTGTCGTTTGGCTCATACGGTCATACACCATTCAGCAATAAACCATTCCGTATAGTCATTTAGAGTTTCGCATATAGGATCGGGACGTCTTTCATAACTGGGATCAACCCTAGAAACAAGGATGAATCGGACACGTAAGGGAGCAGACAAAGCATGGTGATCAGTGCAATACACATCCTCGATGTCATTGCACCCTCAAATGAGCTTTTGCTCCTTCATGCTTCTTTCCTTGGTCGATCACATAATACCGTGGTTTGTTCTGAGCACTACTGGACAACCCGACCATTCCATCTTCGCTTCACTTTTACGGCGCTGTGATGTATCAGGTAAAATGGATGGCTCTGCCAGGTAAGTTACTGGTCGTCTTCACCCCTAGACTTAATTTTTGAATTTTTCGAGCATGCCTTGAGCCCGTTGAGATATGAGCATGAGGCTAGGAAGGGCTCTTGTTGTGTTAGCAGGAAAGTGAGTAATCTAAAAGTCATGTTCCTTGTTACGCGATAATTACCGACGGAGTTTGTATTATTCACGCATTCAGAGTGCTAAATGACCATACAGTCTCGTGGAGATCGGGACGGGGCAGCCTGGTAGTTAGCAAAGCCTTGGGGCAGTAAGGGATTCCGTTAAAATCAAGCTTGTTTCACAATCTCTTTCCGCTTTTATATACATGAATCTATTGTATGATACGTGGCACATTTATCTCATTATACCTGTCATGCAAGTGCACTGCTTCATATTCTAAAACCCTTACGAATTATGTTATCGCATTCAAATCAGTAATATCATCACTGTCAAATGTGAGCATCATGCAACCCATTACATCCTACCACCATACGGTGTTAATCAGTCGCATCATTGAGATCAGTCTACGCGGCAAACTGTCTATCGGGTTGAACAGCCAGCTATAACTCCAGATCCTGCGCAAAGTAACCCGACGTCGGCTATTTATAGTTAGAGGCGACATAGCGTAGAAGCACAAGAAGCCCAACCTAGAGCCCTCGTGCGATTTGATATTATATGTAAGATACACAACATGGAGCCTAGACCCTCGCCAGAAATTTCGCTCACACCCAAGTTGAGTAAATTATTATGAAGACGGTCCTCAAATAAAGCAACTAGATAAACAAAGACGATAACTTTCTGCCCGTTTATCACCAGTGGGTGCAAGATTGACGCCTAGCAACACACACTCATCGGTCAAAGAGGCAGATATCTCCTCCATGCTCACCAAACGTACACATTGGGCCGTATCCGTTGGGACAGCTACTGGCCGGCATACTATTTTGCACATATTCAAATAAATTTTCTTCTTCTGAAAACATTCAAAATGAAGGTGAGATGTGCCAGAAGCCCCACCGCCCTTACGTTTGCAAGAGCGGCATACTGTTGCGATAACGGAAGATATCGTGTCGGTTGAAATGTGGATGTCAAGATAGGGAAGATGGTGTTCCACAGGGTATTCAACCAGTAATAGTGCTGAACAAAGAGTACACCACGCATAGAGATGGTTTTTATTCAGATCCACTATTCCTGACATATTCGAAGTGCTTTCTTCGACGCTTTCTAGATCGGGGTATGTTTTTTTGTTTGTGGGCCATAGTGTCTCGTTGTAATAGAGCAAACTCGATGTTGCTAACTGAGCTTCAGCGATTCACGTTCAAAAACATTTAGGGTAGCATGCTCACCTGGTCTGCCTTGAATTGTCGCTAGTGACATGTAGCCCCCAGGGTTGGTCTGAGTCCTGGTAGATGAAGCAGAGGAAGCCTTTCTACTGCCCTTCTTTGGCATTATCTCTTTTGCCTCGAAAAAAGGCAGGCTGAAGTAGTGCCGGGACTGGAGGTAGTTCGCCAAATATAAATTCCTAAAACGCTCGGCATGTGAACTCGAGAAATTTGAAATGTCACATTCTGTATCATCTGACCATGCCCCTTGCCTTCATCGTATAAAAGTCAACTTTGCTTGACGTCTCAACCAATCGCGCAATAGCATCAGGACAACGGAATGAGTGTAAATTTTATTGTGAAGTAATAAACGCCGCAACGATAGACCTGCTGCACTATCATGTCTCAAACAATAGACAGTCGTACTGGAATGAAAGGATCTCCCTCAACTTAGGAATTTTCTGCACATAGGTAGCTATTCTATGTAAGAAGCAAACTTTTTCTTTTCATAGGTAAGGATAGCCGCCTCGATCACGTCCACTCCTATGCAGCGTTGCTAGCAGCACGTCACAGTGCCCTCGGTAGTGCTTTACATTTCTGAGGCTAGACAAAAGGTAAGGGATACCGCCCAGGCAAAAGCAACAGCAGAGCACACTTGCCCATACACTGATGAGCATAGTAACGCAACTACAACTCGGATATCGCTGGCTATCGATCTGTGCAAAAGCCTTCCGCTTTCGCGACGATGACCTATGCGTCTGCGGCGGACAGGGAGATATGATATATATTTCGCTAGATCGACTTTCTCTCCGATCTGCACCGAGAGCTTGGGGGAGGGTCGGGGACGCGCTTAGTAGCACGACAACCTTGTTGGGAGGATCTAGAGAAAGGGGAACTGCTTCACATGCTATAACAGTGGAGGCTATCTTCATTGGACTTCGCTGGATCGTTACAGAGAGTTCGAGGCCACGCGCCATGGGGATAGCGGCATAAGCAAAAAGGCTACTAGGCCACGACATGCCCCGACGATGCTCTTAGTTTGTATTGAAAGTGGTACACAAAACATGTATTTTGAATTTATATATAAATACCGTAGCCTTTATATCGCTTTGGAGAGGGGTCAGGGAAAATCCAAACACATACACATACATGCTGGCGAGGTACCCCCAGTATTCGGAAGGATCTCAATTTGGTCGGGATTTTGACATCTGTTCTATCAGTGATAATTTACGACCTTTTCGAGGACAAGTGAAGCCGAAGATCCGCACCGCCTCCTGTGATCCTTAACTTGGATCATCTCATCAGTCTTGTGAGATGCAGTAACCCATTGTGAGGCCTTCTCTGCTCGCTCCCAGAATCACAATTGGCAATATAGAGTTCCGTGGCTCTCTCGAATCGAACACAGGAAGTAACATGCGAGTGCCGCCCATGGCCAAAAAAAGATTAGACTCAAAGTTGACAAGCTGGCCTAGAGATTCATCGGGATTTTAGGACAGAGAGTTGCACCTTGTAGACATTCTGAGAACTACTGAGCCAACAATCCCTTTAATATTTCGCTGTTTCCTACATGATGACATACAGGAAGAGCGATATATGTTGGATTCGTCCCAGACAATGTAAGAGCGGTTTTCTTGACTTTCACGCCGCTTACGGACAAGCAGTTGAACGAAACTTGCCACCAGTGATAAAAATAAAACTATCTGTACGGTATCTCTATGAAATTAGATCAAATATAGCCAGATCTGGCTCGCCCTTTTGGATGTATTCACTTGATAAGAGTCTCTTTCCTGGGTTCGTCTCAGGATCCTGATACAATCCTAGTATCAGGGAAGTCAATCGCTCATATCGACTCCTACAACCGTGGGACATTGGGCAATGATCATATATGTCAAGTCTTTGTTGCAGGAATTTTGCTTCGGTCGATGTGAGATCACTAGGTTCTTTACAGGTCACATGTGTTTCCAAACCATTATTGATCACCGAAATAGGTACATGAAGCTATACCCTTCGTGGGGGTTGCAATCCTTCTGTGCGGAACCACCGTTCCTGGAATAGTGGATACTCGGACAGCACAAGCATTGGTGATAGCCGACGCAAGGCCGGATGTACCTTCTAGCTAGTGGGGCGTATTTACGGATCAAGCAAAGTCACGGTCTGTAAATTACAATATCTGCTATTGTTGGATTGCACTATCTAGATCTGAAGAAAATGAAAGAAGAATTGACTTATGTTGTGAGTGTAAATTGCCAACCTGGTCGCAAACGTTTAAAAGCTCATTACGTGGTCGTTTGAGTGCATTTCGAGTTAAGAATGAACTTCCTTTCCTTCTCAGAGACAATATTTGCAGCGGATCAATTCCCAACTGATTTTTCTTCAAGGCTCACCTCATTTTTGAAGTCTTCGGTATGTTGGAATATTCCCGGTTTGATCTGGCACAATGTAGTTGCTCATACAGACTCGAGGATGGAAATCTTCGAGTGCGTTGAACATGTCGAAAATTTTGATATGCAAGCGGCAATAGAGTATATTCGTCGCTCTCATTCTGCCTTCATCAGACGCCCCGGAAGCATTGGGGAACCTGATGCACATCACCACGTGTG